TATGGCATGGTATTTGGATGCTCTTGTATAAGATGTAATAAACATAAGCCACCAAATGGAGGAGGTAAACAACACAAAACAAGCCAAATTATACTGGAGAAAAAGTAATCATTTTAAAATTAAAAAGAAATTAAATTTCTCCTTTCATCTGTACTACAACTGAAAATACAATGCTTACTACTAATACAAGACTTAACTAAAAAAGCATTTTTAATCACATAAGGAGGGCTTTTTCTACAAGGTAAAATTTGAAGCCATTTTAAGCCATTAAGAGATCTTGCTGGAGTAGAATCTGTTATTTAAAGGAAATGTCAGAAAACCCATCACGGTTCTATCTTCTGCTTGAAACTACCTGAAATAAAGAATGTTCAATATAGTTTCTAAAATTGAACAAAAGTAGCTATTACAAGAAGAAACACGGGAAGGGTAGCCAAACAAGATATGGCACAGTAGTTGAGAAAAGCTGGCAAAGACCAGCTGTAAACTCACTGAACTGAGCATAATTGGCCTATTAGTGCACATAGTTACTAGGCATATTTTTTAACAATTGAAGAAAATTCTATGTGTGGTTCCCATATATTTTAGAAGGCTGAAAGCAGGTTACAAGAATTCTACCAAATTAATGTGCACACACCAAGTCTGTGTTGTAGAATTCTACATACGTTGGCATCACTGAGTAATTAGGCAGACTAGGTTCTGAGGACATGCAACAGCTACACAAGGTTCTTTTTTGTCTGTAAAAACCTGAATCCAGTTCAGTTCTGTTGGCTTCAAGCTTTGGGAGAGTTCATTTTTTTTGAGAGTTTGGGAGCCCATTTAAAATGACCTTAGGCAGCACCGTGGTTCATGCATGAATAATAAGTTCTTAATTACTTGTTTTTGCTCTTACCACCTCAAGGCTGGTTGTTTTCCAGAGACCCAAACCATTAAGCTGGGCTAAGGATGCTGGGAGAAGTCCCAGGAGCATTCGTGACAGAGAATGGGCATTGCTTAGGGTTGCTGTTCATTCCCTAATAAGAGCTTCTGGATTAATGCCATAGGATGGCATGGGTTTTTTTCTGTAAAACAACACCATTTATATCTAAAACCACATCTGAATTTACAGCTATTTCTTTGTCTTTGCAGGACAATAATTTTAGGATGTCCATTGTATTTAATTTAATTACACATAATTATCCTTTTTCCAGCTACATAGCTTTTTATGCCTCATATTTTACTTTCTTTTTTTTTTCAGCTGTAACATCTTTTTTTATTAATAGAATCTGCACATTGAGAATTTATACAGGCACAGTTCCGAATACAGCTGCTTTGGTACTGGAAAGTGTAGCTTAGCAGCTTTCTATTACATGACACAGAGCATAATAACAAAAGCTACCCTTCCACATCTGTCAAGAAAATTTATCTCCAAATCAGTCTCAGGCAGAGGCTATTTCAGGCTGGGCTTGCACAGGCTGACCATAGTAGATTAGTCAGTCTCAAAGATAAAGATTAACCCTTTTTCCTTCTTAGGAAACTCCATCTCTTTTTGCAAAGCTTACACATAAATGCACTTAATGCAAACTATTTAACGAAAGCACTTTGCAGTTTTGAAAATGTATAAGCTGGAGGATTACTAACATTTGTAAAACCACATCCTGTTAGTTCCTGGCAGTCACAATAACTAGACACCAGTGTGTTATGTGACATTGAGGAATGCTGCATGCAGAGAAAGGCCAATTCAAACTGAGATAAGTTCTCATTTCATTCTGATACTTCAGTTATGAGCAAGGAGACGAGAAGCAGAAAACTGCAGTACTGTCTAATGAGGTGTTAGAGGACTCAGGGCAGGGGGGTTTAGTGTCTGAATATGACACTTTCTTTAAAGCTCTTCCTCCACGGTTTTTCAAGGAGAATACTTAATTCATGCAGGATGCCAAGTCCTGCACAAGGGTGAGCTGTCAGGTGTTTGTACTGTTCCATTACTAGATCTCAGAAAACCTATAAAACCAGTGCCTCCCTGCTGAAGATGCAGAAAAGTCTGCAAGGTCATTCTTCCCTTGTGCGAGTAAGAGACATGAGTGGACAGTGAAGAATTTCTAATGAAGAAAGGAGCAAGTGCTTCTCTGTGGCAGTAGGAAATACAGGTTACATATGTTTGACCTGCCCATGAGACAGGGAATCTTTTCTCTCAGGCCACACAAAAGCCAACTCCAGCCTCACTAATCTTATACTCAGGCTAAATGGTCCCACAGAGCACACCAAGGTAACACTCCTGCGCCAAAATCTCTTGTAAAGGGTCATCTGCTGATGGAATAAACATCCTGTGATAGGGAAGTACAGATAGGCCTGCTCTAAAAGGCCACTTTCTGGAACAGCGCAAGGCCGGCACTGCCATTTGAGCTCCTGAGTGCACACTGCAGGCCAACTCAGCAGCAGGCTTCACAGTCACACGACCCCTCTTAAATTTCAAATGCACGAAACTAAAATGATTTCTTCCAAATCTGTGTTTTCACGTAGATTCACTCTGTGAGATGTTTTTTATGTATGGAAGGCATTCTGTTCCCCCAAAAAATTCAGATTTTCCACCTGCTATCTTGGGACTTTGTAGATAACTGCTGCAAGTATAATTCTTTTTCCCCAGGAGAAAGGTGACCAGCAATTGAAGTTCAGGGGAGCCAATACCTTCATTTTTACACATGCCTAACTAGATGCACTGATACTGCTGCATCAATATTCACCTTTTTATAAAAAGAACACTGTCTACTTCACAAGGGGAAGGAATTAATGCAGGCTTGTAATACTGTAATTCTAATGGGTGTAGTAAAAAGTAGAAAACATTACAGTATTAAAATCCCTGTTTTTCAATATATGAATGTAAATTATGTGGTAGCAGAAATAATTCTGCAAGACAATGACAGAAAACATCCTTGAAACAAAATTCTTACCCAGAACATGTAGATTTCATAATATCCCTTTTATCCAATAGTATAATTAAGGAGCACATATTTGACCTCTTTCACATTTTATAAGTAGAGGATTCTAAAATCCATAATCTCAATTACTCTTTTAATGGGCTATCTTCAATTTTTTTTTTTTTTTATCTGTTGACCTGCAGGATAAAGCTATTTAGAAGAGATGTTATTGTGGAGAGCGCTGCCATAATGAAAATGCTGAAGGACAAAAAAATCCAATAAGGAGACTGGAAAACAATTTGAAAGTGCACTCCTCAAGTTTAATTTATTCAATATGCATACTGTGAAACATCTGGGTGTCTAATGTACAATCAGGTATTAACTTGGTACCAGCTATTACAACCAGTAGTTTGCAGCAAGTTGCAAGTCTGTGAACAAGGAGGCAGTTTAGCAGTGAAATGCAAAAGGTGGGGAAGAAAGCACATAAAGCTGCTGTGTTACCTCTTCTCCCTATGCTCACTTTTTTTTTTTTCTTTAATAAATCTGTATTTTTTTAGCCTATTTCCTGTGTGGCCATGCATCTGCATGCACCAAACCACTAAGTTTTACCAAGCAATCTCATCCCTCCTGGTTTCAATCCTGTAGGGCACAATTTAGTAGGTTACTATGAGAGGTAGCTCCTAATACAAAATTTGTTTTTTCCTTTTTCTATAAGAAAGAAAGGAGCCATAGAAAGGAGCTACATTTTGCACTCAAGTTTCAGCATGAGACAACTAATTATCTCTTTGTGCCTGGTTGGTTATGATTACAAAACATTTCTTCTACTTTTGCAGCAGTAGCTCAGAGCCTGGGAAGGTGCTCTATGCAAAGAAACAGTTTAGCACAGCCTCTCTGTCTTCATCTATACGTGTGGCAGAATTATTTCTCTCAGTGTGAGTAAAATTTACATTCTTCATAAATCAAGGACATCACATGACTCCACTTTCAAATCCCAACTGTTGCAACTCTCACACATATGATAAATGGTCTCTTCTAGCAAGAAAAGTAATTCGTGAGGAAGAATCATAAGATTCATAGAATAGTTTGGGCTGGAAAGGGCCTTAAAGACCGTCTAGTTCCAAGCCCCCTGCCACGGGCAGGGACACCTTCCACTAGACTAGGATGCTCAAAGCACCACCCAACTTGGCCTTGAACACTTCCAGGGATGGGGCATCCACAACTTCTCTGGGCAGTCTGTTCCAGTGCCTCACCACCCTCACAGCAAAGAACTTCCTCCTATTATCTGATCTAAACCTACTCTCTCTCAGTTTGAATCCATTCCTGCTTGTCCTGTCACTATATAATCTTGTAAAAAGTCCCTCTCCAAAACAAAGAAGTACGCACAAAAGCAAGCATCAAATTTATAAGGAGCATACTCAGTTGAAGTTACATTTATAATGGTAATATCAGCGCTAGTTACAAGGTTGAGACAGCAGCAAAGATCTGCTCATTGTAGAAGTCATATGCAAGCCTAGAAGATGAGCAAAGCAGCACTGCAAGTCCAGGGGCACTGCCATGACCTAAACAGGTTTGGAAACAGGTGATCTTCAAGGTCTGCTTCCAACCCAAACCATTCTATGAATCCATGATACTCCTTCTACTGATGCAATGCATCCAAAGAGCGTTGAACAGGGAAGCTACACGGAGGTAAGATCAGTGAGGTAGAACTAGCAGGTTCAGTATTATTATGCTCCCTCAGCACCTCAAGCTTAGCCAGTGCTCCTCCCACGCGAACCCTTGGAAACTCCGTCTGCGAGCTGCTGGTGCAGTGCTGTGAGACAGCTGGGGTGACAAACCCTTTCAGGTACGTATCGAGGTTGCACGATTAGGGGAGCAAGGCATTGCCCCGGTTTAGTTCTATCCCAGGATGGAGCTGGCAGAGAACAAACCGCACAGACAGGAGGCACAGAGCTCAAACGCCTCCCTCGCCCACAGCGCCCGTTTTATATTCGGCGCGCGCGGCCCCGCCACCGCCTAGGGCCCCCATTGGCCACTGGGGGAGGGGGCGGGGCTCAGGCCGCCGGGGGTGGGCGGGGCGGGCGGGCCCGCATGCGCCCTTGGCTGCTCTCGGCGGGCGCGGGCTCACGTGGTGGGGCTGGCGGCCGTTGGCCCCACGGCGGCCGGGAGGGCCCAGGCGGCGGCGGGTACGTGCGCGCGGCTCCGCTCCGTCCCTCTGTCCCTCCCTTCCTTCCTTCACCGCTCCCGCCTTCCCGTCCGCGGCCGCTTCCTCTCTGCTCCCTCCGTGCTGTCCTCCCTCGCCTCTGGCGGACCCAGCTGCGGCCCCGGCGGGGGCTCCCGTGACCGAGCGGGCCCTGGGCTTCCCGCGTGCTCCGTCCCCCGCGTTGTGCCGCGGCCGAGCCCGGCCGAGCGCGGCGTTTGCGCTGTGCTCTGGCTCTGCTCCTTTCGGTGTTGGATCTCGGCTTTGTGCTCCTCAGCCAAGACGTTTTTCCTCTCTTTGGGACTGTGTGCGCGCGAGAATCTGGTTTGCTGCGTAGTTACCTTGAGAAAGTTCTGCTTTGTGGCTGAGGGGCTGAGTGAGTTTGTGCCCCTCTATGCTGTAACAAGCTTGGGATTCATTGCATTGATAGCCCTCTACCAACAGTACCTTATGGATTATTACTTCGACCTTACACCTCACCCGATTTCTTTAGAGTTTTGCTCTTTTATCTGTGATATCGTATCTGTGTCTAAATATACACTTATCTTAGTACATTTCGACGTAGGTGCAATATACATGACACTGAAAATAAATCTTCCCAGGTGTCACATGTGGGTTAAATCGTTAGTGCAGTATGACTTATTCATTAGTAAAAACCTTCTGTTTTTTAGAATTAAACAGTGGCTTTTGAAAGTGTTTGTCACAACCAAAGACTTTCAAAAGTCTTGGGTTTGTTTTGTAAAAGTATTTTCAGGGTTATAAATATTTAAAGATACAATAAAGATATTGGGGAGGGGGTGTGAAATTTTGGAGTAGACTGCATATCAGATGAAGTCCTTTTTTGTTGTTGTTGTGGAGATGAAAATTATGATAGCAAGGAAAATGGGAGGCAATCCGTAGAACCAGCAGATTCTGGTCTCACAGTGAAATCTACAGGGAAACAGAATTTGAAATGGCTGCGTAAGACAGCTTGAATAAAAAGATTGTCAGTAAGCAATCTCAGCTTTCTAGCAGACTGTTGTTAGAGTTTCACAGTCTTCAAAGCAGAAAACCTTGGACTGCAGCCAGAAACATTAACAAACTCTATATAGGGGCTGTTGAGAGTATTTCAGTACAAATCACCTAGGTGACCAGTCTGCTTTACTCTGTGGTGTGCTTCTCAGTAGTTTGTGGGTTTGTTTTTTATATCTTGCCAGGAATGGATATGGTGTTCACTGTTCACTTTGCAAATGTGCATGGCTGGTCCACAGAGTAGAATGTGATACTGCTGCAGTTTGGTACATAGCTCAAAATAGTTCAGAAAACGTACCTTTTGTGACTGTGACAAAGACAGTGCCAATGTTGGTGATTATAATTAGAATCACAGAATTGTTAAGGTTGGAGAAAACCTCTAAGATCATCAAGTCCAACTACCAGTTGGAACAGATGTGAATAGTTGTAACTCAAACTCTTAGGTACCATGATAGATTTGGCAACATAATGGCAATGTCTGTTTTTTGTAGCTGGTTTATCTATGTAATTTATACACAATTTCTGTTTTTCTTTGTGTTGTTCTCATAGAAACTGTTTATTCAGCATATCCAAAGATGAAGAGGAAAGTTACAACAGCTGGAAAATTGAGGCACAGTCCTAATGAAGAAGCCATGCTTCTGAAAGAAGAATATGAAAGAAGAAGAAAACTGAGGCTACAGCAAGTATGTCTGTATTTTTCAATGTTTTGTATTTCATTTAATGCCGTAACAAATAATTTAGAAATCATCTGAAAAGGTCATTTAATATAAACTAAATTTCAGGGTAATAGTATTGTAGAATCATGGAATTGTTTTGGTTGGGAAGGACCTTCCAGATCATCAAGCCAACCATTAACCCAGCACTGCCAAGTCCACCACTAAAATGTGTCAGTAAGCGCCACATCTACACGTGGCAATTTCCTTTCATCTTGATACCTTGGAGTTTTGATGTTTTAATTTTTTTTGTTTTTGTAGACCTTAGAAGTAGTTATATAGTAAATGTAGATTTTAGAGTAGCAGCATATTATCCCTTTACCCTTAACACACCAGCTCAAACCCCTGTTACCCATTCCCATATCAATTCCCTAAATTCCATAGCCTGTTTAGTCTCTTTTTCAAGGTAGAATTGTAGAAGAACACCCTAACCCTACGGAACAAGATATAGCCATAGACCCAACAACCTTCAGGTCTAGAATTCTGGAAGGCCTCCAAGGACATTACGTGCTCTGAGGAAGATGAAGATGAAGAAGAGGGGGTCCCGAAACGCCCCCAGACCCAATTCCCAAGAGGCGTGGCGGGGGCAGAACCTGGGTGGTAACAGGACGGGGATTGGGCAAAAATCATTATAAAAACTGTGGACATCTGTATTTCGGGAGCGCGCGCTGGGGGTATTCCAGAAAGCCTGGGGGCTCATTAAAACTTTTGTATCCTTATCTTATCTCCTACCTAATTTGGCTTGGAGTCTTTTTTTCCCACAGCCATTTAGGCAACAATCTTATTTCTTGTTATTTAGAAAAAGAGGCCAACCCCTACCTAGCTACAACTTCCTTTCGGGAGGTTGTAGAGATCAATAAGGTCCCCTCCCTGAGCTTCCTTTTCTCCAAACTAAACACCCCCAGCTCCCTCAGCCACTCCTCGTCAGACTTGTGCTCCAGATCCTTCACCAGCTCTGTTGCCCTTCTCTGGATGTGCTCCAGCACCTCAGTGTCATGGAGTGAGGAGCCCAAAACTGAAAACAGGACTTGAGGTGTGGCCTCACCAGTGCTGAGCACAGAAGGACAATCACTGCCCTGGTCCTGCTGGCCACACTAGTGCTGATACAGGCCAGGATGCCATTGACCTTCTTGGCCGCCTGGGCACGCTGCTGGATCATGTTCAGACCCCATTGACCGGTATCCCCAGGTCCAGGTCCTTTTCCACTGGGCAACTTTCCAGACACTTCCCCAAGAACCCCAATAATGCAATTTGTGAATGATTTTAATATTTTTGTGTTTATTTACCACTAAGTGCGTATTTTGCTGGTGATACCTTCTCTGTTTGTTAGTTTCACTGGGATACCTGTTTCAGAAACTTTTGCCCTACCATTTTTATTTGGCTGTGAACACACAATTGTCTTTCTTCTGCTGATGTGTCATTTGTGTTAAAGATTCCTACCCGTTAAGAGTGTTACAGGTGTCTTCTCAGTGACTATACAGAAGAAATAAGATAACTACTATTAATATAGAACTTCACAGCATTCTGCTAGACAAACTGAATTCCTACAATATGTCATAGCTCTAAATGCTTTAGGTCCTGCTTCTTTTTAAAGAATATCTGAGCAAAGTGAGTACCTTTGCATGGTTCAGAACATGTCTGTTGATCATTTCGTTTTTCTTCCATTTCTCTTCTGTCCTGCAGTTAGGCCACAGGGCTATTTCTCCAGGGTTTTTTCTTGTTTTTCTTAACCTTCTTCTGCTTAGCCCTACACAATCTGTTAAGGCCTTTCACATCTTTGAAACATACCTGTCTCCAAAACATTTATTATGTACTAATCTTTAACTCCTCTTGGGCTGTTTTCCCATGTGCTCTTGTCTTTAGCAAAGAGAATTTTACTGTCAAAGTGGAAAATAAAAACTTAATAGACAGACTTTTATTTATCAGTGTAGTTGTTGATTTTCTGTGTTGCATTGTAAATAGGAGTCTTTCATTAATTACTGTGTTGTAGTTTTGGAGGGAAGGATATTCCAGGCAGATTTCGCAATTTATTTATCAGTTGTGTGTTGCTCTTTGTATTTGAACTGAAGCATTTAACTACGATTACATTTATTATATGTTATATTAATTTTTGAAAAAGAGAACAGAAACTTTAAAGTATTTTCCAGGAATAGTAGATGAGATGGAAAGCTGGAAGGAGGGTAGACTTATGTTGTGGAAAGTCTTGCTGCAAAAAGTATTGTGTTTTTTTGAGTTGCTGACAAAGCATAAATGCTATTTCTACAGGTTAGAGAGCAGCAGAAGTATATTGCCTTGCAGATAAGGCAGAAGGTGAAGCAAAGGAGAGAAGAACAACTGCATCAGTTAGAGGAGGCACTGAGAGCTCAATGGCAGAAAGCACAGGATCAAAAGATGAAAGCCCTGGAAGAACTGTATTTATCAAACTTAAGAGCAATTGGTGAGGGTCACCGACAGGCCAAGGAGAATGTAAGTAAATACAGTATTAAATTATTGTGTTGTGGTTTAACCCCAACCAGTAACCAAGCATCACACAGCTCACTCCCCCACCAGTGGGGCAGAGGAGAGAACTGAAAAGGGAAAAAGGTAGAAAACTTGTGGGTTGAGATAAAGACAGTTTAACTGGGAAAACAAAAGCTGTGCACATGGGCAAAGTAAAGCAAAGAAGAAACTAATTCACTGCTTCCTATGGGCAGGCAGGTGTTCAGCCACATCCAGGAGTGCAGGGCCCCATTACATGTAATGGTGACTTGGGAAAGACAAACACCATCACTCCAAACATCCTCATCTTCCTTCTCCTTCCCCGAACTTTATGTACTGATCATGGTGTCATGTGGTGTGGAATATCCCTTCTGTCAGTTTGTGTCACCTGTCCCATCTGTGTTTCTTCCCACTTGCTTACCAGTGTGGTAGTACAAAAAGCAGAAAAGGTCTTGGCTCTGTGCAAGCACTGCTCAGCAATGACAAAAACATCACTGTTATCAACCCTGTGTTCATAACAAATCCAAAACACATCCCCATACCTCTCCCAAAACCAGCACATATTGTCAGAGGAATTTTTTATGTTCTTAAAATAGCAAGATTACTGTTTGGTCTTGGTTTTTTTATAGTCTTAGTCTTGGAATTCTAATACCTAAACAGACAACTTTTTTAAGAATGGAAACTTTTTAGAAGTGGTTATGTAGTTTTTGCAGATGCCTTTTCACAAGACTGCTATGCAGACCTGTCTGCAAAGACTTTGGCTGTGCAGACTTTAAAGGTTATTTTTTTTGCATTAGGTTGTATACATATTAATTGTAGTGTAATTATAATAGTGTAATAAATTATAGTGTATGCTTGTGCTTGACTAAATTGCACATGGTGACTCCTTGTCTCAGTTTTTCTCTAACTTATGTCTTGTCTGTGGTTAAGATAATACACTTAACATTTTTTTCCCTTCAGTGCTCAAGTGACATGGAAAGCCTTGGTAAGAGCTTCAGAGGTCTTTGCCTAGACTACAAACTGAATGTCACTTTCTTTAAAATCCTGTAACTTGTGTAGGCTCTGTTTGAGAGATCATTGTGGCTGTTGGGTAGAAACTTTGTACAGATTCGACTCTGAATCAAATTTATAGAAATCAGCCAGTGGTCCCACATATTTCTTACATGAATTTTGCGGAGTAGCTTACGTCCTAAATTGGTCAGGATCTTTAACACAAGTAAAATAGCATTATGCTTTTCCATATCTGTGTCTTTAAATCAACTTCTTTGTAAGGTGCTTTCCAATGCTAGGATGGGTGAGTTTGTGAAAGACTGTGGAAGCAATGTCATAAAAACAAAATTAATGATAAAGAAATGTTTCTGTTGATACATGATTGTAGCAGTTAATGACTGAAAGGTAGTAACACACTTTTTCTACACAGTTTAATCTGCATTTGCTAAGCTGTGTATATATGTAGCTATATTTATATTATCCTCTTTATCAAACAGATGCAGAGAGAAACTAAGGTCTCTACATCAATATTTGGTTAAATTGGCTTAGGAACGTGGCAGGTTCACTGTTGCTGGTGGTAGAGAGAAAGAGAATAAAGACGGCAGAGAAGGAAAAGTTATTATTTTTACCCTAATACAGTTAGAAAGTCATTTCTAGCTTGTGCTTCTTATCAGCAATATGTAATTTGAAATATTACACTGACAGTATGAGAAGTGAGTAAAATCCTGTATTAAGTGCTTACAATATTTTATTGTTAAGGAACCTGACTTAGAAGCTCTGGCAAAGCAAGCAGAAGAAAGGAAACAAAGAGCAGAGACAAGACACAGAAAAGCTCTGAAAGAACAGAAGTACCAGAAAGAAAAATTACTTCATGAGCAAGCCCGGTATGCAATAGTTATTTAGTTTTATTAAGAATGTGTTTTACAGTGTCACAAGGTGAAAGGCAAAAATTTTGATGCTTAGAGCTTTTTCATACTTGAAATTTTATGGATTAGAGAATTAATGCTCATGGACAATGCTTGTGGATTTTGAGAAGAACTGTAGCTATAAAACCAAGACAAAAAATGTATTGTATACAAGCTGGCCTTATAAACTCTTCATGAGTGGGGGAGCTTTCATCCCTGTGTCACTATTTTCAGTCCAGCTTGTTGGCTGACAGCTGTTCAGTGACATGAAGTCAAATGTTCTCAGGCCAGTTGAAGAAAGACCTAGTGCATTAGTCATGATCTTCCTCGTTAGGGTTTTTTTATGGAGCAGATTGGACCAAAATTGAGCTGGCATGAAAAATTATCTATGTCCTCTTGGGTATAGTTGTGCTTGAGTAGAGCTGTTGATTACATAGTTAGTTTTGTCTACACTTGAGCATTTAGAATATGGTGAAGTGACATGAGTACTTCCTGTAAAAGTGGGAAACAGGGATTTTGCACTGTTCTTTAGAAGTTTGTGTGTAGTAACGTTTTTGCATTACTTGAAATTAATTTTTAGTGGTGCCTTCCAGCCTAAGTTCTGTTGACTTTTCATTATGCTTTTCTTTATGTCTCAAACATTCAGTGCAGGTACATGGAAATCTGTTTGGTTTTAGGTTTGCTTTTTATTTTGGACTGTGCTCTCACTGTTGCTTGAATAATTTTACTTCTTTTGTTTGTTTGTTTGTTTTATTTTGTTTTGTTTTGGTGGGGTGTTTGTTTTTTTCCCCCAAGACGAACAGATGCACGTAAACATGCTCTGGAAGTGGAAAGACAAAGAGCAGCCAAAATTGCAAGCCTGCCACCCCCTCCACCACATCCTTTTGAGGTATGTATCCATGATGCAATAGTGATCACAATTTCAGGGTACCACGTAATGTAACGATTTATTACTGGTCTGACTCCTCACAACAGGTTATCTAAAATTGGTATTTGTATACTATAAGGAAAGTGATTCAGCAAAAACAAAAAAGAGAACTAATGAATTATGTATTAACAGACTTTTTACTGCTAGGTTTTGGTATTTTATTTCTGATCACTTGTTATATGTGATTTTTATTTCTTGTCATCTGAGATCTTATTTTTGTGGTTAATGTGTTTTTTTTAAACTTTTATCATTGCCTCATTTTCACTTAATAGCCACAGTGGTATTAAACTCTGCAATGATCTCTCTCAGCATGTACACACCTCCTCAGCTTTCTGTCACAATGATGCAATAATAGCTTTTTGTTTAGTTCTGTAATAAAGACATTTCCACCTTTTTAGCTGTGGGGGTTTTGTTCGGTTTTTTTGCCTCCAATTTCTTTGGTTCTAGTAGGGAATGCTAAATATAGGGTAAGGTGTTAAATTTTGATAGGAAGCCAGCACCCAAGGCTGTTGGGGACGCTGTAGCCTCTTTAGGGGTGACTTTGTACCTCCTTCATGCTGCTTTGATTTCACAGAGATTCTACATAGGTGTAGAAGCTCCTGTAGGGTTGCAGATCGATACTGCAGAAGGAATACTACTTGCTTTTTTACTTTAGGGTTAACTTTTAAAAAGTTTAATTTAACAGAACTAAATTAATGCAGAGTTTTAAGTTGCCTTTGCTGCTCTGCCCTTTCAGACTGTTGGACTCAGGAATTTTCAGACCACTGAAAAGGAAAGGAAAGAAAGGATTGAAGTATAGTTCTGCCTCTCACAGGCAGTGAAGTTACCAAAACTTTTTCCAGTGACATCCAGCACTATGTACAGGTTAGGGTGTGGCATATTAGGAAGCTGGTATTGTATTTTGAAGAACTGATTAAGGTTTGATACTCAGTTTTCAGAATGTCTAGAAGGAGTACCTGTATACTTTCATTTGCATCCCTCAGTACTTGCTTGCTTGTAGGTCTCCTTACTGTCTGCCCAAGGATTTTCATGTTGTGGAAGTTGGATATGAGCGAGGATTAAAGCAAGTGTTGGAGTGGTAAAGTTTGGGGTTATTTCTGCTGAATTAAGTACATGCAATATTGAAATTTAGAACATCTGGAATAAGAACCTGTATGATACAGTTCAGGTAAATTCACACACTCTTTCATGCTGCTGTTCTCCTGTACATTGTTCCACGTGTAGAGGAACATTCTCCTCTACATTGTTCCTGTTGTAGTGCAGCTGAAGTCTGTATCAGTCCAAACTTTATTTCCTGTGTTTCAAATGTTTCTGTTGCTCAGTTTGGCATTGCTGGAAAAGCGTGAGGTGCTTCAGCATTGCTTTCTAGAAACTTTTGCAGTTTAGGATATGCCTTCTGTTGCATTCTATTTTAAAAAAACCCACAGGTAGTCACTTCCATATTTGTAGATGATGTAACAGCTAAAATGACATGGTAGTTACTATTTAATACTTTTTATCTAGCAACATCAATGATGCATCTCTGCTTCTGTTTTATAAACACAGAATTTTCTCCTAATTCTTTAGTCTCTTTTCACAACGGTAGCATTAGACTTTGTTTTCAGGTTTCTCCAGGTTCTGGTACAATTGAATTTGTGATTGTGTTGGATGACAGGTCTGAGTCAGGACTCTGTTTAAGTATTGCAAATTCATAACTGCCTTTCCTAAAATGAACGTGAGAAAAATAATGCATTTCCACCGATGAGCAAATGTCCTTTACTTGCCTTTTCAACAAATGTGATTTTAACTGGTTGTAGCAGAGTTGCAAACATCTGGATTTTCTACAATGTGTGGGTTTTGTTTCTTTTATGAAGTTCATGCTCTGATAAGGGCAAATTGAATCAGTAATTCTGCAAACATGTTTTGTTGAGGAAAGAGATTGCTCTGTTTTGATATATCACAGTGTGTCAATTTGTTTCATTTAAAGACTGGCTGACTGGGAACCTTTTTCCTAGTTATTGTATCTGTGTGGATTTTAATCCTTTTGTTGTGGGCTTGTGTTGCTGGGAGGGCAGAGGGTGAAGAATAAAGTTATTTTCTTCAAAGAGTTATTGGGTGCCTTGTACTTCATAGGATAAAATGCTAAGTAATTGAAAGATGAGAGATTTTATTCCTGTTTCTGTTTTGAGAGAGAGAGAGAAAACAAAAGAAATTGACTGTCAGTTTGGGAGAAGGTAAATCTGGGGCTTTATCTTGTAGATGCATTACTGAAAAGGCAGTGAATTTGAATTGCTTAACTTTACTCTAAATCCTGTGAATTGCAGCAAATTACAGGGTCATCTGCATAAGCACACTTGTTTTCTTGAATCAGTTTGCATAAGGAGCTTATTAAATATAACTATAATCATAATCTGATGCTTTGTTGCAAGAAAATTGACTAAAATTTTGTAAAATGGAGCTAAGGCAGTGCTGTTCACTGGATGATTACGTGGAATATAAGAAACACTTTCTGAAGATACTCCTATTATTGTTACTTTACCCAGTTACAAAAGAAGTATTTTTACTCTGTTGTCATTAACAATTTTAGTTCTCAGAAAAATGGATTTCAGGAATTAAGGCCATATTTGTTCAGACTAAATGAGGAGTTACTTAATTGAAGTTAAGCTGTAAACACCACTTTATTAACAAGTGTCATATAGTTCTTGTAAACTTTTTAGTATGATCTATTACATTTTTATGTAATGGAAATAAAACCTAAAAAGTGTCACTATACTCTTCTTGAGTATCAGTAGCATATGTGGACTTGGGGTTGTGGCTTTTTTGTTGGGTTTTTTTCCCCATTTCATGATACATTGCTGCTCCGGTTTTGCCAGATTTGAGTATGGGATTCCTTGCTTTTTTGGGGGAGTGAGGGGAATGGAGGGAGAACTTACAAAACCTTGATTCAAAGTATGGTATTGCATTTGACATTAACTGGAAAATTGCAGCCTTCAACATAATTCTCAAGTCTTCTTAGCTTTTGAATAAAATTCTGGAGATTTGATTGATTACATGTAATTATTAATTATTGATTTGTTAATTTTACATTTTTTAGATAATTCAGAAGACAGGTTTAATTGTACATTCTGAAAGTAACACAGTACAGGGCAAGCATGTGGTGATCTGGCTAATGAGGCCTAGGCATGGGACTTTTCTGTTTTCAGAGCTGTAGTCAGTATCTAGAAGTGTTTTGATTAATGTAGAACTGCTAAAATTCTATGGTTTTTATTGATTAAGAAAGTTAGCAATTTTTTTTTCCTGCTAAAGTAACGTGCATTTGCTAAAGGACCGTAAAATAAGTTACTGGAATTCTTTTGTGAAGGCAAAAAAACCCTAGTTTTACGAGTTGAGGGCCCCTACTCAAAGAAAGACATTGAGGTGCTGGAGCATGTCCAGAGAAAGGCAGCGGAACTGGTGAGGGATCTGGAGCTCAAGTCTGATGAAGAGCAGCTGAGGAAGCTGTGATTATTTAGCCTGGAGTAAAGGAGTTTCAAGGGGACCTTCTTACTCTCCACAGCTGCCTAAAGGGATGTTGTAGCCAGGTGGGAGTTGTTTTTTTCCCCCAGGTAACAAGTGACAGGACAAGAGAAAATGGCCTCAAGTTGCACCAGGGGAAGTTTAGACTGAATATTTAGGAGAAATACTTTTATAGAAAGAATTGTCAACCACTGCAACAGGCTGCTCAGGCAAGTGGTGGAGTCACCATTCATGGAATCATAGAATTATAGAATTAACTGGGTTGGAAGAGACCTTCGAGATCATCAAGTCCAACCCTTGATCCAACCCCACTGTGATTACTAGATCATGGCACTCAGTGCCACAGCCAGCCTCATCTTAAAAACCTCCAGGGACGGTGAATCCACCACCTCTCTGGGCAGGCCATTCCAATGCCTGATCACTCTCTCTGTAAAGAACTTCTTTCTAATATCCAACCTAAACCTTCCCTGACAGAGCTTAAGCCCGTGCTTGTCCTGAGGTATTTAAAAGGTGTGGTGCTCAGGGACGTGGTTTGGCAGTGGACTTGGTAGTGCTAGTTGGACTTTATCATCTAAGTTTTTTTCCAACCTAAATGATTCTATGATTCTTTGATTTTAATTTAAAGACTTTATTTTCTACAGTCTTTTTAAAATAGTAAGTGATCATCAATACAAAAATTTGTATGCCTCATCTTATGCAGAGATAAGTTTAAGATATTCCTGAGACTTACTGCTGCTCTTTGTGTGTATGCATTTGTTTACAGTCATGTTAGTTTTAAACCACTCAGGCTATGAAACTCCCTGTTTTGGTTAATGTGGACCAGAATCCATTTTAGGGGAAAATCTAAGGAAGAGGAAGCTGAGAGAAAATTAATGGAGGGGATGTTCAGAAGTACAGTGGCAGGTCCAACAGAATACTGAGAATATCTAACTAGCTATCTCACTACTGAGAACATGAGGCTGAGCCAAAGCTAATAGGGAGGGTCTCACCCATTGTTCAGACTTTCAGAGGAGTTGAAATGTGTACCCAAAACTTTAAAAAAACACCAGCAACTTAGCATTATATCAATTGACACTTTGCAGTGAAGTTACAGAAAATGCTCTTTGTTCAACTAATAATTGGACATAATGGCTCTTGTGTTTCCTAAAGCAAGTCTGAACTTGAGAACGGTTACTTTGCTGTTAGGTGTAATTACATTGTGGGTCAGTGGTTGCCTTGCTCTTTGGTGAGTGTGACAGGTGTTGTAAGTGGGATTTCTATTAGTGCATTAAACTCAAATGCTTTCGAGTTAGTGCTATTGAAACATGGCACTGATGAGTGTTAGTTTGTGTGGAGGGATATACCTAGGACTTTTAAATGCTCTCAGTTGTTAAAACCCTCTAGACATACCTTGTGCTGATGTGGTTTATTAATTATTACATGTATAAGTTTTAAACAAAAATATTTTCAGGAGAGAATTTGGGGGTGTGGATTTCTTTTAATAATAATCTAACTTTACAGATCACTTATTTTGTGTTTAGTTGCTTTTCTAGAGATACTGTTCTGTGATACAGCTGTAGTTGTACTTTTCTTTGTAGACAGTGAAAAAGATTCCTCTGGTGAAGCCCTGTGGTGCTGGCAACTTTTCTGTTACACGTTACCATATTTCTGGACCTTATGTGGACAGAGAAGTGGATGAAGAGCAGGTGATTAACTCCAAGTGTTTGTGCTACAGGCTTCCTTATATGTTTCTCTATATTGCCTATATTGGATATCACCTATTTGGTTTTCTAGAACTTGTTTAAAGCTATGAAGTTATTATATAAAGCAGCCACTATGCAATTTACTAAACAGAATCTTAGGGCAAACTTGTAAAGCCTGGAGTTTACAGTACACTCAGACAAAGGCTAAAGTCTAATCAGATGAAGGGGAGGACCTGGAAGAATGAGAGATGGAGCAAGAGCTTAGCTTTTAGAGGTGATTTTTGAAAAGTAAACCAAATAACAGTTTGTTTTATTAGCGATGTGAAACCACATTCTAAGTTCCTGTTCTTGATGAGCCTGTTTTAGACTAGAAAAGCTATCAATTTTTTTTTAATATATATTCAGTGCTTTCATGAATTTTTCATTCATAAACTTTTAGATTTTCTTGATATTTGAAGGACTAGGTCTAAGCAATAACAGGGGATACTGTAGTTTGCTCAGCTTTGTCATGGAAAATTCCAAAATGGTAATCTTTTTAGCCTTGCTTATGTGGTATGGTTTTTTTTTTTTCTTAAGTGTTTTTTAGTTTTCATGTTAGTTAAGATTTTCCTCCTTTAAAAATTGCAGATAGTTTCTGGTCTCCAAAAAGTGTTTGAAAATGCTTCTGGATTTTTTTTTCCCTTATTTAAAACAAAACTGTGAGGATAGAAGTACTCAATCTGTGTTATTGACTGTATTATTCATATTTACCATGAGGGAAAATAACCACTCTAGTATAACAAATAGTACAAATGGTCATCCCCAGTATAGCTTGAAACTGGAACACTTGGACACCTAAACTTATGAAGTATATAAATACACATTTTTTTCCAAGGGTAAAATATTAGTTCAGTCCTGCTTTCAACTGAGAGTTACAAACATTCAAGGGTGGCATTGTATGTCTTTTCTAAAGTGCTTTTGCTGCAGAATTATTCATTTATTTATTGTTACATATGCTTTAAACTATCAAAGAACTTCGTGGACTAAACTATTGATTGACTGCCAGCCAGATGCTCATTTAGCTGCTGAAGAAGAAGGGAAACGTTTGGAGGAACTACACAGGGAGGCAGAGAGGGAGCGAAGAGAGCAGCTTGAAAAGGCTCATCTTAGAGGAAGTCATGCCTTGAGGAAGGTCCACTTGGCCAAGGTAGGCAAAGTAGTTATGCCTCGTTTTAATATCAGAATGACTTCTGTTAAGTTGTATGTACATGTAATAAAGGAATACATTTACAGGATGAGAATTAAAGGATTAAATGAAGTTTGCAGAATATCTTAGAAAAAAATCAAATACTGTTTGCTTCTTTTGGCATCTGGAAGGAGTGAGAATGAAAGAACTCTAATTTTTGTTATCTGAATGTTTGACCAGCTGTTAACCAATAGGTAATAATCAAGCTAAACTTTCTTAATAGCTGATGAGTTCTGCTTTTCTACATCTGTTTTAGTTGGAGTTGGTTGTTCTGTACTTCAGGGAAAAAATAGTTTATTACTAAGGAGGTAACAGACTTTTTTATTTTTCAAAAACTTCTCAAAGTTTTTAGTTAAAGACTGAAGTTCTGTTAATATGCAAGTCTGGAAATGTTGAAATTGTTTCCTTTAAGAAGGAAAAATTAAACGGTTGGGAAAGATCTTTGTACTGAGAACTACACTCAAAAGTTGTTTGTTATCTTCTCACATGTTTTTGGTGTCATGAAATAGCAAAAGTTTCTTGTTTTATCACTTGAAATATGATTGACCCTGAATGAGTAACCGAACTAAAATGGAGAACTGTGGAAATACTACTGATGCTCCTGAAGTTAACAGAAAAGAAACAAAACAAAATCCCACCAAACTTCACATACAGCTTTTTTTTTTAAAAAAGCTCTCATATATCATCATAGTGTGCCAAAGAATACTTAGTTCACATCTTAAAAAGTAGCAATTGCTGAAGTATATACTAACAAAAGTAATTTGTCAAAAGAACTATTTGCTTACCTTGTAAAGCAGGAGATGTACTTTTGTTGAGGAAAGTTGGCCTACAGGTGTACAGTCTGATCCTTTATTTAACATTAGATATTCTAGGTATTGATTAGACACAGGAGTCATCAACACTAGAATCAAAGGTCAGATACAGCCTTTTCCTGACGAACCACCTTCTCACTAGAGTAAGATTAACTTTGAACATTAAGGATTAAACAGACATCGTGGTAACCAAAGGGATGCATTTTGTCAGTCCTGATATATGACTGTCTGATTGTGAACACTAAAGGTTTATTTTATCCCTTCTTTATACTTGAAGGACAGGAAAAGGCTACTGGAAGAACTGGAACAAATGCAGAGTATGGATCGCATGCGCAGAAGGCAGGTTGTCGCACAGATGCCACCTCAGCTTTTAGTGCCAGCATACAAACGTATGGAAATAAAAGAAGAATGGCAGAGAGAACTGGAGTTTGCATTTGAAGAAATGTACAGTGAAGACAGGAGTAAGTAATTTGTTGGAGGTTGCTCAATCTGGTAACCCAGTAGAGGAGAGGCTGCTGCAGCTGCCTGTTCCCAGGTCCAGCTGGTAGCAAGGTCGTGTGTGCATTACAGTTGGCACACACACAAACAGGCTTGCAGTACACGTACAGACAGCTGGCCATGCAGGCCAGCATAGATAACACAGCATTCATATTAAACACAAACAGCACAAATGGCCTCTTTCTGTTTACTGCTCTGGCTGATCAGGATGAAAGACTCTTAAGGGATATATGTCTGTACATGCAATATGGATCCCTCCAGCACTTAGTCTTAGACCCTCAGTGTATCCAGTAATTGTCCCTTGCATCCCAGATCTCTATCTGCTGCACTGTTGATCCTTCCAGTAACAGGTCTTAGACACCCAGTCTGTCCAGTAGTTCATCCCGGACCCTGTAGCCTTCCAGTTACCTCTCACATCCACATACGCACTCAAATGCACGTGTTCAAATATGTGCTGTGGATCACTCAGTGAGTAGCTTTTGACACTGCCTAGCAACTGGCCCTTGATCCTTAGTCTCCCAAGCTGCCAGCTCCCGGGGACATGAATCCCCAAGGTCTGCTGCTCCACTCCTGTTGCTGCTGCACAGGCCCAGTTGGGCATGTGAGCAAATGCACAGACATGCACATGCTATGAATCCCTGTGGGAACTGACTGTAAAAACTTGGTCTACCCAGTAGCTGACCCTGGATCATCTTCTTGTTTCGCAGAAGCACACACCTCTGCTGACAGGTTTCTTAGGATCTCACAGTCTCCCCGGTAGCTGGCTTGAATGCTGGGATCTCCTGATCCTTGCCAACCCATAGATCCCCTGGCCTCTCCAGTATATAGCCCAGTCTTATAGGTGCTTGATACATAGCTCATAAGCCTCTTACCATTCTTTCTGGCTGGTCTGGCTAGTGATTTGCTAGTCACTACATGATGATACTCATGCCTACATAACATGCCCTCATTATGGCCTCTGCAGCTAGCAGTGCTCTGGATGCAGATGTGCCTGTGACTTTTGGTCCCCACTCCAGTTGCTGACCCTTTTACATCCATGCACATGCATACAAAATACAGGGTTCCTCACCCAGCTAAGAGTGGAATTTAAGGAGAAGACAGCATAGACTGTCAGGCGCAGTGCACAGACAAGTGCACTGATTGTCTCATTTTATCTCCTTATTCTTATATTTTTTCACACATTTTTTCTTCCCCAGACTAATCTGATCCTTTCTTTTCCTGCCTTTAGTTCCTCCCCTAAGTATGTATAAGCATGTAATCCTAAGGTGATCTTCCCATGTATCCCACATGCCTTGTAGGCAGTAGCACCCTTAGTTGGTAAGGTAATCATGGGAGAATTTCTGTTGTGTATTCTGGGATTTCACACCTGGGCTATCTGATCACTCTCCAGTGCCAGCCTTGTGAGCAGCTAGGTCAGGATGTGTCTTTTCCTTGATAAAGATACTGGGGTCCTGTGTAATTTTTCCTGTGAGCCGTTTTTTGTGTAAAGATGAGCCTTCTTTCACATCAACTTTTGTTTTGAAATACAGCATACTCCAGTGGAAACCCCTATGGAATTTCTGAATGAATAGATGGCTAATGATCTAAACAGTTTTGAATCTTCTACTTTGGGGAAGACAAAAAAAGGTGGATTAAATCTGTTGTGAAAGAAGATAATGATACTTGAACTTCTTGGGGATATGTATATGAGCATAGTGTTGCAGTGTTGTTTGCTTTGTATTCCAGTTGGTCATTCTGTGTCATTGTGTTCTTTTAATTAGACATGAAAGGAGACCTGATTTTGCGTTTTGAGCCACAACCTTTGCCACCCCCTTCTGACAGAGCTCAAGATAATGATCTTGATATCTCTTTGGAGCAAGAATCTGCTTGTCACAGTCAACCAGAGCCTGCTTGTGATATTCAACGAGAATCAGAGCATGTAATAGAAGAGGAGGTCCCTAGTGAATCAGAAAGTAAATCTTCTAAACTTCATATTTAATTTAAACTTTTCATTTTATATTAGAAGATATTTAGTTCAATATATTAAATAAATTATAGTATTAACTAAAATGTCTTAAAGTAGTAAAATTTCTGTGTCTGAAATATTTCAGTATCAAGTGGTTTATGATATTTATCTTGGATGATAATACCCTAATGATGATGAATTTATAATGAAAATGTGTCTACTTTTTAAAATATTTTTCAATTTGTTAGTATACTGAGAATAACTTTTAATTGTTCTAAGAACTAAACAGCTAGTAACCATAAATATTCCAGTATAATTAACATAAATTATGGAATGATCCTGGTGTGTGAATTTAAATAACTATTTTCTCTTTTGTGTTGTGAAATATTTCAAAGTTTAAGCTTGACTTTGTATGAAAGTCTACCTATGTCCTTTATGTTCAGGTTTGTGATTGAGTTGCTCCATATTGTGAGTAGGCTGCAACAGATGCATGTGTGTGTACTGTTTGCTTGTGGCATGTGCAGAGTAACGTGATGTGAACAAGAAGTGTGTTACTGAACTTTGCTGCTTGGCCAAGCATTTCTGCCATGTGCCTTTGTTGGCACAGTCTGGTTTATGGTCTGTGGTGCATTGTGTTGCCAGTGCTACTACAAAGGAGAGGGCAGGATCGTGAATGCAGGTGGGGGGATAGTACTGCTTATTTCTGCAGTAGTCTGACTGTGAAACCCTGCAACTGGCTTAGCACTTCTTTTATAGCTTGCAGAGACAAATTACTGCTTCTCTCTTGCAGGTAAGAGAAAACATTGTTAAGCTTTTAAAAATATACCTGAGCTATTTGTCTGACTGTGTAAGCAATAAAAAAAAGTTGGGTTTTTTAAATGAAAATATTCATTACCTAAAACTCTTAATAGTGTATATTCTTAATAGATCAAGAAGAGGCAAAAACTTGCCAACCTCGGTCAAAACATGCTTTAAAGAAATTGCTGAACAAGATTAGAAGCCAAAAAGAGGAATGGACATCAAAATGTGAGAAGGAGAATCAAAGTGAATTTGAGACTATCGAATCAGGCACAATTGCTAGTGAAGAGAGACCATTACATGATTTAGAACTTGACAGTGAGCAACAGAAAAATACAGTATGTAAAGCCAAAGGTACGTAGTACATACTTAAGGGGGGACTATGACAATACTGTTTAATGAATTTCTGGTGTTAGTGTTTTGGCACATTGGCTGAAAATACAGTTTTCCTGTTTGTGCCCACAAAGCATTGTGGATTTGTTGAAACCACAAATAGGAGAGGTCTTATGTCCAACTTGCCCTTTAAGATCTTGTGGAGAACAAATGTCCAAAATACCTTTCTGTCTTTTAAGTCTCACCCAAATTGTTGTCACAGTTGGTGTTGCCATGCTTTAATAGGTGCTTGCCTCCAGGAATAGGATTCTTAGTTCAAAACTGGGCATTGAAGTTCTGTACCTGTTGAACTAGAAAAGCCAGATTCTTTGGAGAGATTCACAGCTAGAAATGCATAAGATAATCATGAGCTGATGTGTGGGGGTTTTTCTGCTTCTAGGCACCAATCTGAAAAGGCTTTTTGTAAAATTGGAATTCATAGCAATTAGATGTTCCAATTTGTTTGGCAGCCAGATCATCTTGGAGTTACTTCCCATTTCTATCCTTTGTGCTTTTCTGGTTAGGCTAGTGCTGAGGTTGGTGATCTTGTATGCCAAGTGGGATTTCTGAAGTGATCAAGTTGTAACATGTTTTTTTTGCCTTTTTTTTGCTTTCATAGTGTGCTTGTTTTGTAAAACACTCCAGAGAGATTTAGTTAAATCATGTACATGGATATGCCAGCATAATACCTGGGGATTGGAGAGTGCAGCATGAGTGAAAACATGCCTTGGAGGAAAGCATGCTGCTATTTGAAGCTAATAATACAAGATTAAGACTTGCTTTTTGTGCAATAGCGAAATGTTGGATAATTTATCCAGAGAGTGCCAGTTTTAGACCCTCTTTGTTCCAAGAGGGTAATATGTGGCTTTTGATTCTTAGGATGCTCTTGCTACCTGGGCTCCCAAGTAATATGTTAGAAGTCATCTTCAATCCCACTGTAGCTGGGCCATTACTGTATATTCAAGAAAGACACATGATAAAGGACCATTAAAACTTAAATAATATAATTTCTAGCTTGTGGAGACAGGTAGAGTAGTGGGATGGAGATATTTTTGAGAGCAGCTTATGCATTTTGTTTAGAGATAACTGGGAAACTGTGAAGCAAGATGTAAAGAAGGTCTAAGGCTCTTTCTTGACTGCCGTTACTGTTAAATGTGTATTTTAGACTCTGTGTTGGAAAATATAGTTGCAGATGAAAATTCAGTTCTAACTCATCCTCAAGAACAAGCAGCTAAAATCAGAATGGAAGAGGCAGCTAAAATCAGAATGGAAGAGGCAGCTAAAATTAGAATGGAAGAGGAGAGACGGAAGTGGGTAAGTGTGTCTGTACCTACTACTATCTCAGCTATGGTGTAAAAAACATGATTTACAGAAGACTTTAAAATGCTTCAGGTTATACAGCAGTGATAGGTGCTTTTAACACTTAAACTTTTACTGTAACTTTTGGTATACTTTTTAAAAATTACAAAGCTGTAGCTGGAATTTAGAATACAGTGGAAAACCCCAGTTTCTTAAAATCTAGCAAGTGCTATAGGCAAGGGATGTAACCTTGTGGTTAAGTGAGAATTTCAATTGCACGTTAATACCTCTGGTTTATAAAGGAGGATATGGTAAACAATACACAACTGCAAACTGCACTGACCCTGTGTAATACTGCAGGAAGGTCTAAGGAATTGTGTTTAGAATAGCAGGAAAAACATACAAACCTTGAGTCATTTTTTAAAAATTAACTAGGAAACGAATGCAGAAAGCTTTTTGTGTCTCTGGAAATGCGATATTTATTATATTTAGAAAATAATAACTTTGTGTATTACTTCATTATATGTATTGTGTATGTGTTTCATTGTATTTTCATTTTTGTTATATCCCTAGAGACCTACCAGCTGCTATGTGGTGGTTTATCAATTAAAAGTTGAAATTCGGGTCTTAGTGCAGAGTTAACTTGTAGAGTTTTAAGTTCAGAAATAAAGGAAATGAAAACTTAACAAAATATTAATATTTTGGAAAAAAAATGCAACAGCAGATCCTCTATGAAAGTGTGGCTACTTTCTTAAACATCCATTTGCTCCCCTTTGCACCTGACTTGGTGTCTTACTGTGTCCACATTAACTGTTCTCAGGTCCAGCTTTTCCCGCGTTGCTCTTCCTGATGTCCCCATTCAGACTGGCTCATTAAAGGCTGTTGTCCTCTTCATCTTTGCCAGTGCTTTGAAATTTCTCTTTACTTCCATTCTAAAAGCATATGTGCTGTTGCTGTGCGTGGATCTAAGTGAATTGTAGCTGATAGGTACATGGAAAGAGAATAAACAACACTCAAAACAAACTACTTCAGAGATTTATGGAGTGCTCTCAAAGCTATTTCAGAAGTTTTGTAAGGCTTGAATTAACACATTTAAATGTGATGAGAAGCTCTGTACAATGCAAAATAGATTTCTGAAAGTCAGTTTTAGAGAAGGACTTCTTTTGTAGTCTCTGGAAAATCATAATGTATTTTGAATGGTGAGATTCTGATTTTATCCATTCTGTTAATATGAGGATCCAGGGACTGTTAAAAATATTGAACCAGTAAAATAAAATCATTCTTGTAAACTTCTGAACTACTTTTAAAGGCCTCTTGTAATTTGGAAATGCCTATCACAAGCAATAGGATTTCTGTTGTAATTTGGAACAAAGTTTTGTGTGTGATGGGTGTGTATGAGGAGTCTGATTTCTTTGTCATTCAGTTCTAGAGATTCACCCTCATTTTTCTTTTCAATAGAATGAGGAAATAGAGCAACAGAAACAGGAGCAGCTGGCCTTGCTTAAGCAAATTGAAGAAGAGAAAGCACGCTTGGAGGCCGATTTTCTGAAGATCCAAATGCAATCCTGCTTGGAGGAAGCTAAGAAAAAAAAAGAAGAGGAAGAGCAAGGTCAGCTGGTACAAAGCCACAGTCTTCCTTCTACAGATCAGCAAAACCAAGTGGAACATGAGGTGAAGAGTTGTAGAAAATTGTTTGTAGGTTCTTAATTATTATTATTATTATTATAAAAATCAAGAACACTATTTGTCAATTTTAAATTATATCAGTTAAGACAGTTTTTATTTCTCAGGCTGTGACAGAAATTTGTACATATTAAAACTTCTTTTTCTAATGTAGAGCCTTGTATTTCACATGGTATCACTGGACCTGAGGGAATGGCATGAATCTGTGTCAGAGAAGGTTTAGGTTATATAGTATGAGAAAAGTTCTTCACCCAGAGGGTAGTTGGACACTGGAACAGGCTCCCATAGAAGTGGTCACAGCACCAAGGCTGACAGAGTTCAAGAAGCGTTTGGACAACGCTCTCAGGCACGTCTTGGGGCTGTCCTGTGCAGGGCCAGGGGCTAGACTTTGATGACCTTGTGGGTCCCTTCCACTCAGGGTATTCTATGATTCTGTGACTTTGACTATTGTATTACCTATGCATAGTCCCAGGGACAGCATGTGTGTTTAATATACTTGTTAATAAAATCTGATTAGAGTCACATAATAATTATGCATGTAGTCATAATCTTTTTCAAGAAGGAAAAAAGAAATTATAATAAAAGGACCAAAAAGATCCATCTCTGTGTTTTTGTCTGTCTAAATCTCAAGCAGATACTTAAAGGAGAGGAATTTATGGAGGATGTTGAAGGAAGGTAATTTTTTTTAATAGAAAATCTTGGATCATTTGCACAACCTGCTCTCCTCTGAGAACCTGATTGCCCTCGAAGTGCAGCTCTGTTGGATTGTTGCTCCCTGAGTTTGCTGGATACATTTACTTCTGTAAGCTAAGCTGCTGCAAGCACCGTTGGCTTTGATGGTGTATGCTCTAGTTGCCAAGAGAGACAGTAGCTGTAGGCCATCTGTTCCAGGAACTCATTTAGCTTCATTGCCTCAGGCTGAAATCTCACTGATTTCAAGTGATAGTACAGAGTGGCTTCTGTAAACTTAGGAGAAAGAACATACAGCTTAAGACTGTTCCTGTAATAAACTTTTGTTAGATAGTTTTGTATGTGCAAAATTAAATTAAAATTATAATTACTTTATTTTGATTAGACTGGAAATACTACTGTATCAGAAATTAGGAGTTCTAGAGAAGACAACCATTTACAGATGATTCGTAATTTTCAGCAACGCCTTCTACAGCAAAATAGGTAAATAAATGCTGTTATGAAATGTAAACCTGTTTCAAAGTAATTTGAATTTCTTTGGTTATTAAAATTAATGTTTCTTTTTGCATCACTCTGAAAAGATTCATGTTGTGTTTTTATTGAGGCTGCACAACCAGACTGTTGAAGAAGCTAGAAGGCATCTGCAGGAATATCAGAATACACTGAAGCACAGATACTTGTCTCCTTCTGCAACACCTTCGAGCTCAATGGAAACAAAACCAATTAATTTAAAGCCTGTCTCAGAACCACTCCTACAGAGGCAAAGAGTGCCACCAACACAATACCAGGCATTGGAACAAGTTAATGCCCAAGAATATGCACAGTCATTACCAGCACTTTCAGGAACATTGCATGTGTCAGAAAAACCATCTTCACTGAAACAGGAAGTGCATAATACTTGTCCTGGCAAACCTGTGCAGTTTTCAGAAGCATCGAAATTGAAGCACGGAGAGTTTCGCTTGCCACGTTACTGCCCTTCACAGGAACAAGTGGGAATGTTCGAAACCTCCAATAATCGCCTCACAGAACCATCTCAGTTCCCGTTGCCTCCAGGGTCAGTCACGAACGATGGCAGTGCAATCAGAACGCAACATGTTAGATTTTTGTTGCCTGCAGAAGGTTCCTCTGAGTCTTCAGAAACAGTACCCTTTAAAGAGTCTTCTCAGAAGATATCTTACCATCAAACAGAGGTAGAAGCTGGAGAAAAGCCTCCACTTAAGGTACCCCTCATACCAACAACAAAGGGATCTTGTATAGTTAAGACAGCCTCAGCTGATTCTTTGGCCTATCAGCAGGGATCTGTAGAGAGCACCAGCAAAACAAGCCCTGAACAACCCCTCAGTCTTTCTGAACCCATGACTTTAGTGCATGATGAATCTAAAGCCCAAGGTGTTGAGGAATTCTTGATACCAAAATCAGGAGATGCATCTTTGTTAAATTATTCTGGTATATTGAATTTAAGGGACAGAGTGTTGGCGTCATCAGAAAGCATCCAAGCTCAGCAAAAGTATTTGAAAGACTTGCAAGAGAAGCTAAATGCACAAAGAGAAGCTCTTCTTTCTAGGCAGAAAATACAAGAACAACTACTTTTACAGAAGCAAGATGAATTGAAGGAACAGATGCAGAGACAGCAAGAGGCTTTGAAAGAATTTTTGAACAAGCAGGTAAACTTTATAAATGCTTTGCATGGGGAATTGTGCAGTAGGTGATCAAGCTTAGGAGGGAATGCTAGCAATTAGCAAAGTATCCCATAGAGTGTTGATAGTTTTAGGTGATTTACCATAATGAAAATTTTAATTAGGACTTGTGATTTGTAATCAGTAGTTCTTCTCTGTAAGCCCCAAGAGCGCAGTTTTGCTCAGTCTAACAAATACTGTGAATGCCCGTGCTTGGTCTCTAAACATAATGCTTGTTAAAATTGTTAGATTGTCTGAATTATCTGCAGGTACAGTCTTCATCTCTATAAATGCAGCTCTATGTGAAAGGCAGCTCTTATATTAAAAATACTAAAGCAGTACCTGAAAGGATATCATAAGCATCTTGAATAAATTATTTTTAAAGCTTGTCTTCATCTGTACTCGCTAGGAAATGGGTTTGGCAGCTGCAGTCTCGACTTGTAATTTATTTTTTTTTCTCAGTAACTGAAGAAAAATTGAAGTTTATTTTTGAACTTCTAGAGAGCCTCCTTTTGCCTCCCCATCTTTTTTTTTTTTTTTTAAGGAATCTTAGAAAAATAATTGTTCCCTGTACTTCCTGTCTTTTGATTTTGCAGTCTCTAAGCAGCTAAAATTCCGGAATTCAGGAGCTGAAAAACTAAAAGCAGACTTTTCAGAAATTGTTTCTGTTAAAAATGCTGAGTATTCTGATCTAACCTGATAAAGGCCTTGAACATGTAAATAATTGTGTTTTAGCACATGGAGGTTGTAGAGCCAAGTAAAATACCTATACATCCAAATGTTTCTGTTAGCTAAGCAAATCTGTCTGGTACCTTGCATACTTGAACTACTTTCTCGACATGTTCAGTATTATTCTGCATGAAATACACACACAAGAAAATTTGTGTTTGATAAATGAATATAAATATAATCTTACATACATTTGTCTCCTCCTCTTCTAAGGTGAGACATATATGCCCAAGTGAAGAAATGACAGAGGCACAAAAGCCTGACTGGATTAATAGAACTGACTTTTTCCAAGTCTCAGAAAACTACCAGCAAGAAAATGGCAGCAGGAGTAAATTTCATGGAAGTGAAATGATTTCGCAGTGCAATGGTCCAGTTGAGCAAACTGGTAAGGCTGTATGTTACATTCCACTATAATTTTTATTGCTTTACAGCTCAGATGGAGTTCTCTTCCATCTCCCCAAGTTAATTTTATATACACACACACACACACATATATATATTATTACAACATACAAAACTTTGTTTTACAGAACAGTCTGAGAAGATTCTCTGTAGAGAACAGAAATGGAGATCTTCCAAACCACCTGTGACAAAGAGTCAAGTTAGGGCTTGGTTTGGAACAACATGAACTTAGTATTATACCAGAGATAGACACACCGAAGAGTTGCAACCTTTCTTTTGCAGGTAATATACAAAATATGTAATAAATGCTACTGTTACAAGAAGTAGATTGGAGGAATTTAATCTTTCTTGAAGAATCTGTGAGATGATTATGAAATAATAGCTGAAGTTGATAGATAGCATTTAAACATTTAGCTTTAGAGCATACTAAGAAAGTGACTGTGAAGTTTTTCAAATGAGGAGTTAGTATCAAGTTTCTACATAAATTTTTATACCATCTTTTTTGGGTGGTTTTTGTTATTATTGTTGTTTTGTGGTTTATTTTGGTTGGTTGGGGAGTTTAGGGGTTTTTTTGTGAGTGGGTTTCTTTGTGTGCTTTGTTTTGTTTTGGGTTGTTTTTTTTTTTAATTACAAAACACTATAAAAAATTTTGGAGAGCAACTACACAAGCACTTATCATTTTATAAATATATTTGTCACAGTCTACATGCAATGCTTTGTAAGTGTGTATAAGGAACATTAATTAACAGGTACTGCCAACTGATGTTTTCTAAATGTATACATTTATTTCTTGTTGGACCAATTTGGTATCTTGATTAGACAGCAAGTTTTGTTGGTGAAGGTTTTGATTGAAGAATATATTTTCTTAAAAGCACTTGGTTTAGTAATCTACTCTTAGCTGTATAATCCCATTATCACAATCCACAGGTGATGAATTCCTGTATTATCAAACCATTAGTCATGATAGGTCATGAGATTTTTATTGGATGTGCTGTTGTATGGGCTGGGTTGGGGAGAAAATAAGTCTTTAAACCAGAGCAAGTGTACAACCAAAAGCTGTAATACCTCTGAATATGGAGAAATTGCTGAAAGTTTTGGTGGATTGGCTCTGTGGAAAAATTGGTTTTAATTTTTTTGGAAGAAATAATTTGGAGGAGCTATAAATTATTTTTTGAGAAGTCTATGACCTGTATAATCTTTCAGCCTGTATAATTCTTAGATTGTGATGCAAAAGTGTTTACTGACCTGATGGGGCTAATTTAATTAAAATGGAGAATGTACAAATTCAGCAGGTTGTTTCTGTAGCATAGAATGTGCATTTTAATGTTCCTCATTAATTGCAAAACACTTCCTTTCTATTCCTAAACTGATTACAAATATTTTAAATCCAGATAAAGCAGATTCTGGTGGTGGAGAACCTTCCCCCATTTCAACTGTTGGGGAGTTTGCTTGCCTGAAATGCTGCAGTCCCACCCTTTGTGAGGGCAGTTTACCCTCGAGTATAACAAACTATGAAGAACAAACATCTAATGGAAGTCCAAGGCAAACTAAACCATCAGGGAGATTATTACAAGAGTTGCTAATGATGGCAGCTGAAACTTCGTATGATTCAGGTGAGGAAATCCTCTTCATTCAAGGGATTATATGAATTCCTTTCAGCAGTGCTGATTTTACTGCTGTTTATTTGTAGAATATGACCTGACTTATTAAAGGACATGCAGTGCTGTTTAAATGCTGTTGAATTTTAAGTGTAAAAAAGGGTGTTTCAATAAGCACATCTCAGAACGAATGAGTTTTTGTCTGTTTTTACCATCCCAGTAAAAAGTCTGCACTGCACTACTGTTCATTGCTAGCCAACAGTTTCTTGTCCAAGGCATGTGCTTTTTATCTTTGATTTGTAGAATTGTCTGTAAAGGTTTGCAGGTGGGAGCAGATTCAGTACCCAGTGATTCTCTGTATTGACAAAAAGGAAATTAAAGCTTAAAAAGAACTCTGAATGTTAATGTGATGATGTAGATGTCCACTAAAAGATTAGTGCATATAAGAAATTACTTAAAAATACAGTTGAGACAAAAAATAAAAGGCTGAGGTCATCATCAAGCTCAAAAAACAGCTTTGAAAGAATGATCTGTTAGGTTTGACAGACATGAAAATTGAGAATTGTAGAGTATCTCAAGTTGAGAGGGACCCATAAGGATCATTGAGTCCAACTCCCTGTTCCTCATAGGATTACCTAAAACTAAACCATTGCTCCTTGAACTCTGTTGGGCTTAGTGCTGTGATCCCTTCCCTGGGGAACCTGTACTGGTGACTGGCCACCCTCTAAATGGAAAACCTTTTCCTAATGTCTAGTCTGAATGCGCTGGTGCAGCTTCATTCCATTTCCTTGTGTCCTATGGCCCTGCTTAGTGAGAGGTAATTATTTTGTATATGCAGTTCTTGTTTTATTGGGAAGTTCTGTCTACCAACTTACAATGCATTAGCCTTGACTGTCAGCTTGTGAGACTAGCACAGTGCTGGAGTTGAGCCAGACACCTGGAATTTTCAAGGGTCTAGTCTACCTGAATTCCAGACAGGTCAATTCTGCTTTGGCTTTTTTAGTAGCCACTATACCTTTTTTACATGTTCTGCTGAGTATGTCAAAAAGAAAGATACTGCAATAATGTAATGATTACTTCAACTCTGTTCTTGTCCCTTTGTCCATTAAGAGCTCTTATGGGACATCACACCTTTGAGGATAGCCTGTATTCACCTGTGACAAAGTCTGATTCCATGAAATAAAACAATTTGTTCAGTTATCAAGAAAAAAGCTTTTGTTAAAGTGGTTTGGGAATGTTCAAAATAATTTTGTTACAGGGATGTTGAAACCTACTAAACATGCTACGGGTAACTTGACTGGCTTTATAAAGGGACAAAGATGATTAGTCTTAAGTAAACGAAGAAAGCAGGTTACTAAGTTTGTCAAGAGATTGGACTAACAAGTGGATATTAGAGTTTTTATTTCCTACTGGTTTTTTCCCTATTTATAACAATCTAGTTTGTCTCTCCAGTCTTTTAATTCAAAGGCTCCAGTACTTTCAATTGCAATGCACTTGCTTCTCTTCGAGTTTACTGCATATTGAAATGCAGTTTATTGTCACTATAACTGAAAAATACTATGCCTGACTTGCTGGGAACTGTTAGACAAAATTTGTAAAACACCAACTAAAGGAATTTGAAGCTGATTACAAGGTGACAGCGTTGCATGGTCCAGGACAGTTTTCAGTATCCATTTAAAATGAATGAATACATTACTAGAGATGCAGAGGAGTTTTCAGAAACTTGGCAGCATTTATATGCACACTCTTACAAGCAGTTACAGCTATGTAGTACATATCTGGTTTTGCTAGAGATTTCACCACTGCCCCTGATCTTTAACTGTTCATTTAGTTTGTATTCAGACATCCATTTCCAATTCAATCTGAGTTTGCTTGGAATTGAAGTTGTTTTGAATAAGAACATATAAGCTCATTTTCTTTCAGCTGCTTTTTTTGTTTCTCAGAACAGTCCTTTTGAAGTATATCTATATTTAAATTTAAATTACCATTGAAGAATTTTGTCCTTTGACAATATTTGAAGAAAAGGCTTGTAATTTTCTGAGTAAGTTGTAGATGCATTGCTAGAGCCACTGGTATTGAATTAATATAAAATATCTTGGTGTAGTGTATTTTTACGTTAGAGCATATTATATATGACCAGTGCAATGGTTTATGTAAGAGGATTAGGAAACTTTATTTGAACATCTGTATTAAATGCTTTCTGTGATTTTGTGTAAGAGGATTGTCCTCTTGAGCAGTTCAACAACCAAACTACCAGTAATATCTGTATAATTTGTAGGCTGTGAGACTCCCTGTGGTACTTTCAGTAACTAGTGTGGTATTTCAGCAAGAAAATCTACAGTCCCTTGTGCTTTAAATCTAAAGTTTCTGAAGGAAAAACTTAAGGTGCATTTTAGGTTGTTGTTTATGATAGTAACTTTGATTACTTTTTAATTTGGTTTTTTTTGAACATTTTTTTGCTACTTGTTTCTAACCAGGACGTGTTTGCAGTTTTCCCATGTTTTCAAGGTGTAATTGTGTCTCTAAAGGTGAGAGCAAATGAGTGCTTTGTGTGTGTGACCTTTGATTTTATTCTTTGAAGTTATATTCTTGGTGGTTTCTAGCTTTCACCAAATAACGTGGGGCTCTACAACTTAGGAGTTGTACTGCTTTTGTGATTACAGAACCAATAGATGAACACAAATCCTATTAATCACTGCTCATATGTTTTTTCAAAGTAAACATTAAAGATAAAAAGGTAAAATTGGCAAATCTTCTTGGATGCTTTGCTAGCACAGGTGACTTTGCTTTGATATGAGACTTGTCCTTGGGTAACAGGCATTTTTTAAAGAAACTTCTATAATTAACTGTATTTCTTTCTTCCAGGAAGAAAGATAACTTCAGCCCTCTAAAATTTAGATGCAGATATGTCTGAATGTAAAATGTCTTAAGGACTTTACTGTGAGGATGGTGAGACACTAGAACAGGTTTTTCCAGAAGAGCTGTGGATGCTCCATTCCTGGAAGTGTTCAAGGCCAGGTTGCATGGGGCTTTGAGCAGCCTGGTCTAGTGGGAGGTGTCCCTGCTCATGACAGGGGGATTTGGAACTAGATGATCTTGAAGGTCCGTTCCAGCCCCTTAGCATTCTGTGATTCTATGCTTCTGTGGTTAGGGAAGGACGAATCCCTGTGCCCAGTACTGAGTGGTTGCGAAGTGGTCAGCTGGCTGCAGACAGAGAGGGCAGGTAACTGCTGAAGTGATGTTGCCATAAGTGACACCAGCGAGACCAAGATCCAAACTGCTCTCTTGTACTGTGCCCCTAATGCATGATAAAATGAGTTGGGAACTTTGGACACTTGATATTCTTTCCAATCCAGTTTGTTAGAACTGGCTAATAGAGTCGAAATTGTAACTGGAAATTACAGAGTAACCCTGCAGATGAAATGGACAGTTTGATGGCAGAATCCTAATTTCCTTAGGAAGTAAGCTGGAAACTAGTGACTAGGTTTGATACATACATCTCTCGCAGTTCTCCTTCATTACATATCAATATGCTGGTCTGTCCTTATTCATCCTTAGCAGTTCCCTTAAGCAGTGTTCCAGATGTGATTATCTTCATATCTCTGTGACCCTTTTGGAGTTCAGAGAAAATACTTCAGTTTCATTTCAGTTTCATACTTAGCACTTCTTTCTTGAAAATTCTTCCTGGAAATAAGAATACATATTTTAGAGTTTTTGTGGCAATCTACAGTCATAGAATTGTCAAACTTTGAAGGTGCTTGTCAGCACTGAATGCAGAAATTGCATTTTGGGGTGCTACTGTGGTGCTTTTTTGCACAGATACTGATATACTTATTTTTATGTGTAAGAGTATTACAGCAAAGGTGATTCAGTTCTGTGGTAATAGTCATGCTGTAGTTCAGTAGTTCAGTGTTTCTGATTTCACTGATTTACTTGGGAGTGTCTGCTTTCCTTTGTAATCACTGTAATGGTAGATTGTAAAAGTTCCCCCCACCCTAATGAAATTAACTGCATGAATTTTGAGCTTTTCCTGCCTGCTCTTCAGAGAGCAGTCCGAGGAGTTAGAAATTTTAGGAAGGCTGGTCAAGGAGAACTACAGATTGCTGATGAAATTGGTGATGCAGTGGAGCTAAAAGCGTTGTAGGTGAGAAGAAGGTGGTTAATGATGGGCCAAATTTGTGCCCAAAAGGTGAGACAAGCAGCAGTGGAGTGTTACTGCCCTCTGGTGTGCCACAAAATATTGCTCACTATGAACTCAAAACCTGCTTTTTGTTCCTTATTGCTTCTGTTACATTTGTGTTCAGCCCAGTCCCAGGATTCTCAAGTGTCTCAAGATTCACCAGTGCTTGCTGCTGAAGTTGGAGAGGGAGTTACAGCATGTTCTGGACCATCATTCAGACTTGCTAATACGGTTGGTCATATCAAAATAATCATATAACATAACCCACTCTTTATTTCGTGATGTAATCTTTCTTTCTCGTGTTGGGGGGATAAGATCGGATGCACTGCTCTAGGTGCAGCAGCATAACAAACACCAAGTAAAGAGAGGTAATCACTGTGATGGATCTGCTGGCTCTGTTTCTGCTCATACAGCACAAGATGCCATCTGTTACCCCTCTGCTGTCAGGGCACACCATGAGCTTACACTCAGCTTGCTATCTGAGGAGGCTCCTGGGCCCTTTTTCACAGAGCTGCTCCCTAGGCAGATCCCAGCTGGGACTGGTGCATGGGCTTCTTCCTTCCAGGTGCTGGACTTTGCATTTGCCCTTGCTGAGATTCACACCATTCCTGTAGGTCCAGCCTCACGAGGTGCTTCTGGATGCCAGCCCTGCTGTTCAGTGTATGGCTTGGTCCTCCCACCTTAGTGTGTCTGGAGACCTGATTAAAGTATGGTGTCATCTCCTCTGGGTCACTGCCCAGGGTGTTAAAGAGGACAGGTCCTAGGACAGAGCCCTGTGTGCTCCATTTGCTCCCCACCTCCATGTAGAGTGTAACCCTTTAATCGCTGACCTCCGAGCCTGATTACCCAACCAGTTTTCATTGTCTATCCATTCAGGTTGTGACATCCAAACTGGGATCATACAATATTGTGAGTGTTAAAAGCCTTGCCAAAATCAACACCAATCTCCTTCTGTTCCCTCGCCCAAAGATCCTGTCATTTTGTCAGGAAATAAAAACAGTATTTAAAAAATGCCATGTGTATATAGAAGTACTTTAAAATGTGCATGTTTCATATGTAATATATTTTGTATAAGGTAGTATAAAATGAAAAATGTAGAAGGGTTTCTTAGATTTTTATTTTCTTAGTCCACATTTGAAGTCAGAATTTGAGAAGAACTGTTCATATCTAATTCTTCACATTTTGAAGTTTTGAAGAATTTTTTTTAAATACAAGAACTCTCATTCTCTGCTTTGTGACTTTGTAGAGCTTACCTTAAAATTAAGGAAGGTGATGTTTTAGGGTATTTTGTACATTTTTAGTGTAATTTCACAGAATTAAATTTTTAGTCAGTAACTTGTATGCAAAAGGCTCAGTATTGCAAGTACTTGTAAAATTCTTGTTTTTGATGTTTTGCATATATGTTCCTCTGAGATCTACAATTCTGCTGAAGTGGGTCTGTGATGAGAAATAGCCAAATCTGATCACCAGAAGATAAAACAATCTTCCAGGTGTCATGATTTGTATGCAGTTCTGAGAGGCTTTATAATTTTGTGTGTGTGTGTGTGTGTGTGTGTGTGTTGAGGGGAGGGGGCTGGTGGGGAGTGAGGTATCTGGGACGTGGGGTGTGAATGTGTTGTACTGAGCAAGGATGAACCTTTATTTGCCTGACTGTTCAAAACATGAGGGCTTCTACACTTGAACTGAGCTCAGAATAAAATGTGTGGGTTTAAAGCTTTAATTCTGGACATCTGAGTACTTTGTAATAGTTGTGTTATTTCATCCCAGGAAGTACTAGTTTCAGAGGCTTTCATGCAAGGAATACCCTGTGATTTAACTTCAACAATTTCCACTGGGAGCTTTTCAACTAGTGAAATGTTGGATGCAAGCCCTGTTGGCCCTGGTAAGTGTTTGGGGTTTGTTGTTGTTCTTGTAGAAGGAAAATTGTGGTTTCTCTTTATTTTATGGCAGAATGGGTCTAACTCACTGAATGTAAATTCTTCTGAAATAGGCTAGTGTCAAACTTCATTTAAGGTTTATTAATGTGTCCTACAGAGTTGAATGTTTTGTTAAGTGCTTACAATTTTTTACTTTTATCATAGTTTAACATGATAATACATCTGCTTTGGCAAATTAGATTTTGAGTTTTATTAAGCAGCTGTAACACAGTTTTCTAGTGGCAGTTTTTATTTTAAAATGATCTTCAAATGATACACTGATAGAAGTTTACTAATCAATACATATCATGGATTCTTACAGAGCTATGACTTCTGTCTTGCTGTTAAGAGAATTGTTCCAGTATCTGCTTGTCACCATAGTAATTCTTAATCACTTATTTGTGAAAATATCACTTAAATGCCATATTGACCTGTAATAGTTTTCTGAAAAATACATGATCTTACCCCTTTTTATTTGCAGTCTGCCTCTTGATCTTGTTAGCTTGTTGTAAGATCAAAAATAATTCCTTTATAATAAATATATAGGTGCTCCTGACATTATTACTTGTGAACATGGAAGTGAGCTTCAAAGTGATTAGATAGTGACCTGTAGATTTATTTACACTAAGGCCTAACATTGTATTTCTTAAGCAACCTACCTGTATATGAGTTATTCTATGCTTATAAATCAGATTTGAAGACTGCAGTTTTTACAGCCTGAGATTTCAGTGGCTTCTTTGAACCCTAATGATATAACATAAACTTCATAACTCACGTGACAAATCTGTGTTTTATTGATGTAAGAAAGCTAAAGCAAATTCTAAGATCATTTGCTTGTAGCTTTTCTTCTCTATTATATCTTAGTTGTGGAAGAAAAATATCAGAAGTTTTGGTTATTCAGCTGCATGAATAAATTTTACAAGTCCAGCTATGTCTTCAGCATACACTCAGTGCTCAGTAAGGACCTTTTCTGATAGCTTTGTGCAATTCTTCTGTAAGCATATAGACAAAGAAGGGTTGGGGCACTAACTAGGAACATGATTTTGGTTGCCTTGATCCCTTGGATTTCTTGTGTTGGTATTAAGCAATTTCTCTTTAATCATGAATAAAACTCTTGCACGGTGTCATAAAGATACTCAAGATCACATTAAAGGATTGACATATTTATATGCAGTAGGAGGTAAAGATATTCTAGCTAGCATAAAATAACAGTATTAATTCTTTTCTGATTTTATAATTTCAGTATTTCCAAATTCTGTAAAAGCGCTGAGCTGTACTGGCTGCTACCTAATTAGATCAACTTGTATTTGTGAAAGTGTTTGGTAAGATTTATAGGAGCAGTGACAGGAGACAATTAAAAACAAAACCGCAGAACTCTTTATGAATATTTCAGATGATGTAATGTCAGTGATTTATATGCAAAACTGTGAACATCTAATTTAATATTTCAGGATTGTCTTCTAATGGTACAGAAGGTGGAATTTTGAGAGAAACAGCAAGCCATCCTTGGAACTCCTCGCTGTCTTTTACCTTGCAACAGAGGCAAGAGAATTTGTCTGGAGCATCTGAAACTCCACTGCCTGAAGGAGAGATGCACCTCTATAAAGAAAGTCAGACACAGCAGATCTTGGGGAGACATACTGGGAACTTGAACTCTTACTCAGATGACAACACCTGTTTCCAAGGTATTTGCTATTTTATAGTATTTATGTGCTATGCTTTCATCATACAGAATGAGGAGTTAACTCGATGTTACATACTGGTCTCTGCTCTTTATAGCTTACATTTTAAAATTAATTAGGATTCTGTGTGCAAGAATTTAATACTCTGATGTTCTTCATCCTTTGTGTTAGATATATATTAATGAAGCATCATCTAGTGCAGAAAAAAAAGACAGTCTGATCAGGTGTCTGTCAGTTTTGTGCTGTCTCCTGCCACCATTGCTCAGCTCTTTGCTACCTTTGCCATTTTTATTATTTGTTTATGCACAACTTTCACTTCAGGAAGATAGAAAAATAGTATATAATACTGCATTATTTACATGGAGTAACATAGTTGATGAAACACTCACTGATTAACAGATTGGTGGGGGTTTTGTACTGTCTAGAAAAATGTAACAATTCATCAAAATTAGGAACATCATAATTAGCTATCATGACGATAATGTTAGTGTTTTAATTCAAATTGTTTCCTCCTGGAATGTTTGAACACCTGGAATCACAGAATTATAGATTAATCTAGACCAGAAGTACTTGTGTTTATGGGGCCCAAATTCTCCTTGCTCATAACAGAGCCAGCTTAGGTTGCTTAAGGCCTTGTCCAGACAAGTTCTCAATATTGAGAGCCTAGGACAGAGATTCTACACCCCCTGGGCAACATTCTAATAAATGTTCTTTTCCTCCTTTTTTTAAAATTTTTTTATTGTATCCAACCAAAATTCCCTGTGTCTGTCTCTTTCTGTTTCACTGAACATGTTCAAGCACACTGACTGCATTTTCCCTAAACTGAAGGAGGATAAGTTTAGTTAGATATTAGGAAGAAATTCATCACTCTGAGGGTGATGAGGCACTGGAACTGGTTGACCAGAGAAGTTGTGGATGCCCCATCCTTGGAAGTGTTCAGGGCCAGGTTGGATGGGACCCTGAGCAGCCTGTGTAGTAGAAGATGTCCCTGCTTATGGAAGGGGGATTGGAACTAGGTGATCCAGCCCAAATGATTTTAGGATTCTCTGTATTGTCTCTTAGGAGGTAGTAGGCAGCAGATATTTTTGTGCCATTTCCCCGAATTCTTCTCTTGAGATTGAACAAACTCAGTTATTCAGCTTGTCTTTGAACATCACGTGGTAACCATTTGATCATCCTTGTGGCTCTTCATTGGTCTTGCTCTGCTGTGTCACTGATTTTTGTTCTGAAAAGCCCACACTACTTCTGATGCAGTCTCACATGTGCTGAACAGAGAACTTAAGGACTTCATCTTTTGATTGGAAAAGAAAACCAACATTGAATCAGTGTAGCACTTTCTTACTGCTTTTTACACCTGCATTGTATAAGAGTGGAAGAATTGAATGCTGTAAAGATTTTGGTTTTAGCAGCTAGTATTTGTATACCTGCAGAATTCTAAATACTTTATTTACTGCATATAGAAAGAATGTGTGATATGACTATGACTGTTGTTTAGGTTCTTTTTTTGAGGAGGGTTGTTTTGGGGGTGTGTGTGATGTTTATTTTTAAAATAACCTCTTTTCTTACAGCTCTAGCAGCTGAGCTTTGTTTTCCAGAAAGAGAGGGACCTTTTCCAAACTTCCATCACCATCTCTTTCAACCTTTGGAACCAAGTGTTGACTTTGATACGTCATCATCATGTTCTCAATACGAAATTTCACAAGACAGTAGAGAATTTAGCAAGGTACTACACAAAAACTCTGGTGTAGGAAATACTCTAGCATAAGATTTTTGTAAGATTTAAATATATAATCCCCATGCTGTTTTTTATCTAGAAGAAACACAACAGTGTATTTTGATATGCATAGAGCTGGAAGTGTTTTTGCTGGTTGTAGCAGAAATGTGATCCAAAAATCAAATCCTGCCTTCAACTTTTTATTCTTCACATTTCTGATAATTTTTTTTTTTAATGCCACTAGACTTCAAAATTTTCAGCAGAAAGTCCAGACATGCTTACATTTCTAGAAGTGGGAAACTCTGGTCTGAATGTGCAAAGCAGCAGTCTGCCTTCTCATCTTGAAGCAAACAGGCAAAACAACATTCCATCAGAAGAGTCCATTACAGAAAACCTTATTCCAGGTATGTACAATGTAGTCAAATCTGTGCTTTCAAATTCAGCCTATTGCCAGTATGTAAATACCAACCCTTAGGATGGGTTTGCCGTGTTGAAATGAGGACAGATCTCTTTGCTGCTCTCAGTCCTGCTTTGAAATGTTTTTAACTCTGCTGTTTCTCTCTCACACGGTCTGCTCCACCACCTTTAATGGGTAGAACTGCTAAATTCTGTGAAGTTTATTTCCTCAGCAGTTATGACTTTGGTACAAAAGCAGACCTGCTTATTCAAGTCACTGTAATGGATATTCTGTTACTTATTCCTTCTGCAGTAATTATGTTGGTGAAGCAATATCAACTCTGGCTGAAACTGTCAGTTTAAGTCCTTTTCCAGATTTTTTTATGCATATCCATTACTTTTTTAAGTTTGAGTAAGTTAAGGAAGTTCCAAAAGTGGATAAAAATTTTATGAGGTGCATGTATTTGAGTCTCTGAACTTACTCGTTTGTCTTTTATATACATTGTGTTCTTCAAGGAACAGTTCAATTTTCTTTTCCCACTGTTAAGTCACAGCAATGTACTGCACACTGATATTTGGTCTGATTATAGAATTGCTTAATCTCTCTATAAAGTAAGGGGGAGGGACAAGAGAAGAAGAAAGGAACTTTTAAATTACAATGTTGTAATTAACTTAGTAGATTAGAAGTTTATGACTGTACAGCAGCATTACATTAACTGTGGCTCATAGGAGGAGAAATATGTTTTAATGTTTTGCAGTTGAATTTAACTTGGTATTTCATGTATTCTAAAGAAAAGGACCAATCTGAAATTCAGTGTTTTAAGGTACTCCAACAGAAAGCTGAAAAGTAACAGGAAATGCAGCATGATATCTTAAGTAATAGATAGATGTATTTACAATGTAAACATTCCTGGTCAATTATGTTTGTGATTTGCATATGTATACACTTAAAATTTTTGGACACACATTATTCATGTTTAAAGCTGCAACCAAATACTCAGTGGCTATTATGCTTTTCTTTATCTCTACAAGAAAAAAAGGAAAGTAATAACAGATACTAGAATAGGTTTACACTTTACCCTTTGTGACTGTGGTCACAGCAACGAGGATTTAGGAAGCTCCCTTCGAACTTCAAAACACTCTATTTCTAAATTCCTTATAGAAACAATCTTTGTGCCTTGAGTCTTTACTGCGGTATCTCCCCATGTCTTAAGTGTTTTTATAATCCCAAACTAATTACTGTTGTGCTTTAAAAGGATGGAAAAAAATAACATAAGCAACAGGCTAAGCAAGTAAAAACTATTTTGAGTTTTCAGCTCAAGGAAGGTTGTGATAAGCAAGTGCATCATCTGGAAAATTCTCTGTTGATGGCTGATGTTGCAATGCAGTTCTTCCCTCCCCATCAATAGCTATGTATCAGGAGATAATACTCTTTACACATGTAAAACTAGATATTTTGTGTTAAAGAATGCAAAAAATGTGTAAAGGAAACCATTAAAGGTTTCTGTGGTACATTCTGGTGTGTATAAAAAGCCTAGTGATAACATGATGCTGGAGTCTGTGTAACTAACTTTATCAAACTTAGGTCAGAGGCATGTTTTAACAAAAAAAAAATAAAATTAAGCAGCCCTGTTGTTTGTTTGGCAGTGATTAAAATGTTAATACCAAATTTTTATCTTTTCCCAGCCTCTTCTGGGGGAAAAAAGGTAACTTGACTTGTATGTGCAGATCCTAAGGGAAAGATAGTTTAGGGTGCAGTGCTGTAACTTGTAGGAACAACAGTTGTTATTCCAATTTGAGTGTTGTCTTCTACTGTGAAGAATTTCTGTAATGGTGTTTTGGATTGTCTTCATTGTGGTTTAGAGACTTTGTTGGAGGTGCCACAGGGACTCAGAGGACTTCATTTACAGAGTGTAAGTTGTAAAATGTATGGCTGTCATTATGTCACCACCATCACCAAGTCCATCCCTAAACATATTCTGAGAAGCAACAAAAAGTGTTGTTTCTCAAAATCTTGTGTACAGTGATGGAACCATTTTCTCTAACATTAATGGTACTGTGTTTAAGGAAACTTAAGCAGACTTTTTAAAACAAAATGTTTCTTCCTATTTACTAGACTTTTTGTTATTCATTACTGAAAAGTGTTATTATGAGGAGACTTTTAAAGTGAAAATTCTGTTTTGTTAGCAAGCAGTTTGACTTGTGACAATTTTTGAAACAGGATCTGAAGAATCTTTTCAGCCACTTCAATTAGAATCTGCACTAAGTGATACCTCTCAGAATACGGATCAGCCAGTGGATCATAATGCTGCGTTACAGACATCTTTTGAGCAAGCCCCTGGAATTGAAGACAGGGGCCATGAGAACTGTGTTTCACCTGCAAGAGAATATGAAGAACTGTCAAGAAGTGTGGAAGGTATTAGTCTCCAGTGTTCAGTGGAAGGTCTGCGAAATGAAAGTCTGATTCCACTGGAAGAGCAGAAATCATTTTATCAAGTAGATACCACACCAGTTACAGTGGAGGAAATTTATTCTCCACACTTACTAAAAGAGACTGTGTCTTTGGAAAAATTACCTTTGGAGGAATTTGATAAGAAGTATGTGAAGCTTCCTGAAAAATCCGTTCCTGTACGTGAAGTAAATAATGCTGAGGAGCTGGATTCTCAGTGCAATATGAACATAAAGGAGCCAGAGCAAAGCTTTCCAGAAGGACAGGAATGTTTGAGGGTTCTCAGAGAAACCAGCTTGGAAGACTCAGACATCCATTTGCATGCTGTTGTACAACAAAACAGTTCTTTCCTGGAAAGACATGGAAAACATTCTCGTTCTGTGCCCAGAAGCTCATGTTGTATTCCAGTCTGGGTGAGTAAAACAGATTTCCAAAAGCAGGGGTTTTCGCGGTTGCACTAAGTTATTTTAGACCTTTAGTATCTAAAAGCTTGGCAAATATTGATTTTACAGTTCTGGTTCCTGTTTTCTGGACTTCTGCCCTACTCCTTCTTTCAGATCATAGCACTGAAATAATTAGCAGTAGCTAAAATGAGCTGAGTTCCCACAATGGTTTGAGGAGCTATTTCATCTCCCTCTCTTGCTGTCAGTTGGTAGAGCACATGCAGCTGGGTTTCATGTCACTGTTACCTCACTGTCCCCATTTAGAAGCCTGAAGGAGGTAAATAAATTAAACAAAGTGTAAGCACACTTCAGGAAATAGCTTTGATGTGTAGCATTAAAAAAAAATTTGCCCTACAACTAAGTAACTTAAACTTGAGGAGAGTGAAGGAGTTTTTGTTGTTGTTTGCCTGCTTTGGGTTATTTGTTTCAGGTTTTTGAACTCTGATATACATGCATTCTTTCTGTATTTCATGTATTGCTTGGGGCAGGTTTTCTTTCTTCTTCCTCTTTAATGAGCCTCTTCTTTCTAACAACAGCTGTTCCTATTGCTGGAAAATTTTTTTTATTTTTAGGTTTGGTTTTGTTTTTGGGTTTTTTGTGTGTTTTTTGTTGTTGTTTTTTTGTTTGTTTGTTTTTCTGTTTTTACACATTTGTTGTGTATATTTTATTTTCTAGGAGACTGAATCAGGGCGTGGTATTATGGAAGAACCAGAACTCACTCTGATAAGCTCAAATGACATCAGTATTGCAGAATCAGACATTGGACATATTAACCAAGAGAAAATTGAGGATAAAATCGATAACCTGGCACGTGTGGATCAGTCGGAATGTAATGATTTTACTGAGGTGAGCATTATAATGTAATTCTAACTTAGTATTAATCATAATAAAGAGAGGCCCCACTGTAGCAGGTAATCCACTGTTGCAAAACAAGAGAATGTTGGGTTATCTGATATTAGTAATTGCTTGGATCATCCTAGTTTGATGTTAGGCTTTCTGGACAGATCTAATAGATCTTAAATTTGGGCTATTCTATGAAATTAGTACCTTGTCATATTGGCCTAGACAGGGTTTGGAAGACTTACTGCAAGAAACAAACCATCTTGGTGGTGTTTGCAGGACTAAATTGTATCCCACTAGTTGAAAACTTGAACAGGATGAGAACGTAGGACAAAAAACAAAAAAAGAAAAATTCCCCTACCTAGCAGATGGAGCCATAGCAGGCTCACACAGCAGTTTGAGCTTTATGGGGAAAACATAACCAGCTTGTCATTCTGCCACACTTAATTAGCCTGTGGTGTGCTTTTTGCTGTTTGCTTCTATAAAGCAAAGGCTGTAAATTACAGAAGGGCTGGGTTTTAATGAGACAATAATTTGGGTGCTGAAGCAATAATGTAGAATCAAATAATCTGTGTCAGTTAGATGAACAGATTAGATGAAATCATGCTTTATTGCAGGAGGCATCTACAGAGGATCCTAAAAGTGTCTAAGGATGGGTCTTTGTAAAGTAATTGATACGAGGGAGAGGTGGAGGTTGACAGCTGGAGGCTGTACTGCTGCAGTGGGTGTCACCTGCCACTGAGAAAGAGACGAAGAGATGAGTGGGGTGAGAGTAATGGGGGAGAACTAGAGAGAACAGCAGGAAATGAAAGCAGATGGAATTATGCTGCCCTGTATTAAGAACAAGCAATTGAACCTGGTGGGCAAAAAACTCTTCAATGGATTTTTTTTTTAAGCTTTAAAATGTTTTTAGAAAGTAGATTTTTCATAATTATTACCAAGATCCATTTCTGATTTTTCTTTGCATCTGCTATAAAGGCAAAAGAATGTTTATTTATTTATTTATTTATATACTAGTGGTACAGTAGTACCGCTTCACTCAAATTGGTGATATATTTTAAGCATTTCCAGCCACTGATTCTTTATGAAACAGGAGAGAGAACTTTTACCACTAGCTCCAGGTGCAGATTATTCGGTGTTCACAAGGCCTGACAGCTCTCCCAAAGCCCAGAGTCCCAACAACAGTCACTGTCCGTCGCATCGGACTGCAGGTAATTATGTGTAACTTGAATATACTGAAGTTGAGATATAGTAAATTGTTTTTAGTATTAAAATAATCAGTAAAATGCACCTCTCATCTTGAACGTTTTTTAGAGCTGCTTTTACTTTGGCAAATACATCTTTCTGTTCAGGCTTGGTTTGTTGTACATTTGACCTGGGTTTAGTGTGTGTTGTATTGCTTGTCTCTTCCTGTCCCAAGTTATGACAGTTCGTAATATCTACACTACACTTGGTTTTTTTGAAAAATTGTGGCGTTTTGTGATTTGTCGTCACAGTTGCACGTTCATTTATTTCTCATTTCTTGTTAGTCTCCCAAGCCCTGTAGCCAAAGAATGGCTTTTTTTGGGTTTTTTTTTCCTATTCTGATAATAGCGTGGAACAAAAGTAAAATACTGAAATATTTTTTTGTCTAAGATGAACCACAATAACATGAAAGACAGGACTTGTCAGAACTTAACTGTGTTAGGGACTTGTCAGGTCTTTGATATGTTTTGAGGCATCAAGATGCTTTTGATGCAGTTTTTGTCACAGCATTTGTCTCAGCAGACCTGCTGACCATGACTGGATTTCATAGGTCTGAACTGCTGCCTATTTTGCAAGATGCCTCATAACTCACAGTGCCATTCTCCTCGTGCCACTTACGAAAGTGGTCAACCTCAGCATTTTAGGAGAAGTACATTGCAATGCATGACTTACTGCTCATTGTTAACAGTGAGAAATGTTAAGACTTCCCTTTCCTTCACAGTAATGCTGCTGGAGTTTGCAGCTACATCTGGAAGTTTGCAAAAATCTTTTTTTGAAAAAAAGCAGAACTTCATCCAGGAATCTCTGAAAAGAGTAGAAGAAATAAAAACTAGAGAGAGAGAAAATAAAAAGCCAGAAGCCAGAAAGCTTCGAAGAGGAAAGTCTGAGGAGTTAAGAAGCAGACAAAAGGAGTTTCATTCTCTCTCTGGTAGGTTTATCTGGGGACAAGACACATCATTAGGTACCCTTTTAATTGCTGTTTTGTATCAAATTACTGGGGACTTGGAGGTCAGCTGTTTAGAGCCATGGCTGGCTCAAAGCACAGGCAGCAGCCTAAGGAGTGAGACTGTGAATATTTTAACACAAGACATCCTCTCCATTGTGCCCATTCTGCTACCTTCTTTTTTTGTCATGTCATTTAAAAATCTTTGAAAACCTCTCATGCTTTTGGGTTAGCTAAACTAGAGAGTTAAATTTAAGATATGTTTGGCTTTTTTCTTTTCTCTCTAGGAAAAAACGGTGCAGTTGCCAGTCAGTTGAAAAAAGTAGGAGAAGTGAGAGTATCTTCTCCAGAGGACAGGAAGGCTGGAGAAATTGAAATGCACCAGCGTACATCCAGGTAATGCATGAACACAGGTGCGAAAAATTTGAATTAAAACCAACAGAAGTAGTTAATCTGTGTCTTGTGAAAGCTGTGATCTTCCAGTTGGACCCTGTGCTGCTTAACACAGAACAGTTGGGAGAGAGGAGCCAAGAGTGGTGCAGGTACCTGCTGGGAGAGGCCATTGCACAGGTGGCAGTGAGGAACACAATGTCAGCCTGCTGGTTTCACCAGGCTGAGGCTGCTGTGCCACTGAATGCCTGACAGTAGATAAAATTTGAAGCAAAGCTGGCAGTTGCACTCAAGGACTTATGAGCAGTACCATGAACCAAGTACAGCTCCTGAATGTGGAGGGGGTTTGTTTAATACAGCTGAAGAATTTGAAGTGATTCTAGATTACTAGAGAGATGAGCCAAATTTTCTTAATTGCTAGCAAGTGAGCCAGTGTAAACCTTTAAGCTTGTTAACTTATTCCAGCTTTGCCACTTCCTTTCTGCCAAGGCATAAATTTTTTCCTACTGTTTCCACAGACTTTATAATCAACTTGAAGAAGTAAAAATCAGAAAGGAAGAAAAAACAAGGCAAGAAACTTATGCTAAAAACAGAGAAAAAGCTAAAGAGTTTCAAAAGGTAATAGTTTGTTATACTGTCCTGGCTGGCGACTCTCATGACTTCACTGAGCTTCTAATCAGTCACTGAAGCATAGTTTGAGTGCAGCTGAAATGGAGACCATCCAACCAGTCTGGATTTTAAGTGATGGCATTGGTACATCCTACATAGAAATTTCCTTGTCAACACTATGACCGAGCTGAAACTTTGTCTAAAAAGCATGACTGCCTCAGGCTGAATTTTTCTGGTGACTTTTCAGTAGTTCAAACTAGACTGAATTACCATTATAGGGCAACTTCTGGGTTTGGGCTGCTTTGGCTATTTGAGGTTATGGTAACATTTGGAACATGCCTTAACTTCAGGTTTCACAAAATCTTGTTTGGGTTTTCCTCCAGTTGCTGTAGAAGAGGGGTTGAACTAGAGGACTGGAGTCATTAATTCCCTGTCCTCTTGTGCTTCAGAAAACTGGAAGAAAATGCTTGAGAATCCTGAGAGGCTGTGACTACTCTGGGGGCTTCAAGCCCAAATTCTGCCTTTAGCGCAGACCACCCCACCTTCTTTCTGGTGGAATAAATTGGTGCTCTTGTTGCATTGCTTTAGATTCCATATTTAACATAAAATAAATAAGCACACCTTCCCTCCCACCCTGCAATCTGTGGCCTTTCTGAAGCCAGGACAGTCACTGAACTCATTGGTCTATTACTGATGTTCAGGTCAAACAGATAGGGCAGTACATACCAGTTGTGGGTGGTTTTAGTGTAGTCACTTAAGCTGCACTAGTCTCATGGTTTGTTTTATTTGCAGAAAATGCTGGAAAAACTACGAGCCAAGAGGTCTTGGAAAGCACTGTGACAGGCAGCAGACTTTGAGCAACAGCCTCACTATGGTATTGGTACAACCCAGACTTAATGGTTAACTGTAAAGCCATTAGGAATCCTCAGCTTTAAGCTGCAGGAAAACAGTGAGTAGCCCAAAACCCCTGTACTACCCTCCTGTTTAGGGAGATCACTACAGAAGCAGACGGTGTGCTGCTTTTCAGCATGGTTTGTCTCAGAGTAGACAGGCATGAAAGGCCTTTCCAGATGTGCATTAATGTTTTAAAGGGAGATACTAACTTTTGTAATATACATGTATAAAACATTTTCAAATAAAAGTTTTTTTAAGGTTACTTGAATCCTTTGGAGGCAAAAAATTTCTTCTGTAAAGCTGGAGTTTTATTCTTTGCACTATGTAAGAAGTGTGGGTTCCTGCACAAATACAGTACCTCTTTCAAGCACTTGAATGAATAAAAATTTTACTGTTGCTATGTCCATATTTTTCTGTCCATGTTTTATGAATGCCAATTCATAGCTAAGTAGTTAAAGCAGCAGGGCAAATTACAGCAAAAGTTGAGCTTTAAAATTTGGAACTTGGTTATCAACAGGTGCAACAGAAGAGATGTTTCATTAAATCCGATCAGGGTTAGAATTTATCAGTAAATCATGAAATAGCTGGGGTTGGGACATTTAGAGGTCATCTAGTCAAATCCCCTGGCAATGATGAAGGTGCTATAAAGGTCTCCCTGGAGCCTTCTTTCTTCAGGCTGAAGCCCAATTCTCTGAGCCTGTTTTAACAGGAGAGATGCTCCAATCCTGTGACTTTTATGGACTCCTCTGGACTTGTTCCACCAGAAATCTGAGCTCAGTTTTAGATGAATACATCTAAATTAAATCTAGATTAACTACACTTTACAGGTGCTTTCACTGATTTGAGTCTGGTGCAGTTTTCCTTTTTCAGAACATGATCAGAAGGGAAGAGACCAAGGCCCAGGAGATGAGCTGCAATGATTTTCTCACCCTTCTTTGAAAGCCTCAGTGTAGCAACAGGAAATAATCCCACAGAGACAGTTTTTATTTAAATGCTGTGACATTCGATACAGAATAAATACTTATCCAGGGCTTCAGTACAGTGTGAATTCAGTGACAGGGAAGTTAGTTAGGGAAAACAGGAAAACACCTGATTAAGCCATTTTCAGTCAAATTACAACACACTATACTCAGCTGGGTCTTGTCTAACACACATCTCCCAGGGGGGCAAGAGGCAAGTCACAATATGTGCTACTTTTAATGCCAAGTAACTGCAATAAACACTCTAGGTAAGATCTTTCTCCATTTGGAAGAGCTGTGTAGCTCACTGCAACAGACTTTCAGCAGTACCACCCGAGCCTGAGAGAAAAAAAAAAAATCTATTAGCACTTTTACTCCAAAAAAATAAAAGGGCAATTTTCCCACTATCCAATATAAATTCCCCCTGGCACAACTTAAGGCCACTTCTTCTCATCCCACAGCTTCTTAATTGGCAGACTGACCCCAACCACACTACAGGTAATTGTAGAGAGCAAGAAGGGCCTCCCTGAGCTACCTCTTCTCCAGCCTCAAAACCTCCAGCTCCCTCAGCTGCTCCAAAATAAACTCATGCTCTAGACCCTTCACCAGCTTAGTTGCCCTCCTCTCAACACCCAAGCAGCAGCTGGGCTACAAGACTGCTCATTCCACAACCCTGTTGTTCTCTAACTGTCTATGTCAGCTGGTTTCAGAATGAAACTGAGCAGCCTCTCCTCTATATCAGCATCACAAAAACCCAATGGCAGAAGATTAACATCCTTTTTCACCTCAAGAGGCTTAAGGACATAAGGTGTATCTCCTCATAAATAGACCATAGCACACACTATGTGTCCACGGCATCCTGTAGAGGATTTCAATTTGCGGTCACCGCGTTAAGAGCTGCTGGTTTTCAGCCATGCAAACCCTCTTTGAAGTGACCTTGAATCTCTTTATAGTACCAGCCATTTTGGTAAGTGCTCTTACCTTCACACTGGCTTTGGCAGCACCCAGGTGGAGTTTCTCATCCCTTTGACATGCAGCAACTTGGTAGCAGACACTGGGAGTTAAACAGTCAGGTTTGGTTAGTGTAAGGGAAGAGTTAACAACACACAAGTTGGATGTAAATTGCATGGAGCAGCCTTTGTCTCCCTTTTTTGCTTCTGTTCAAAAGCACCACTTTCTCAATAGCAGCTCTGGAGCCTAATCTACAAAAGTTTCAACAAGAACTACACCTCAGCAGCAAAGGGAGCGTTGTGTCCATTCCATGACCTACAGTGAAGCTTTATTCCCAGCAGACTCGGTGCCACATTGTGTGGCAATACAAGAGCCTGATGGACTTGCTTTACGGTCATGTCCACAGCTCACCAGAAACAGTAACATCCCAGCAGCCTTGGTAATGACCAGACACTCCTCTCGCTGCCCTTACTGTGACTTCACTCAGTAATCAAGCTGCCCATCCTTTCCAGTGAAGGACCAATCCATGCTGCCAACATTACAGCCAAGTTGTGTACCAATAAGCCTAAAATCTGTTAAAATTTCAATGTAAACAGGAGATTGGTTCCTCACAACCAACAGCAGTCTAAGACATTAGTAGTACAAACCACTGCACAACTGTGACAGCCACTATACACACACACAAGAACAACTCATAGACAAGTGACCTGGCCAGATACTGCCAAAATCTGGAGTGATCACGACCCAGTAATCTCTGCTACTGTACGACCATTTCTATACTTCTTTTTAAAACAGTTTACTGAACTCTGAATATTCTAGAATCATACCAACTTGACACACAAACTGCATAGTGTGAGACTAGTAACTCAGTGCTTACCCATAAACAGGTTGCTTTCATCTTCCCCAGCTCATCCATTTAACACAGGAAGGTTCCCTTTGTTCAGTATCCTAAAGCACCTGTTAGAAAGAAGACACTGAATGTACTTGCTGAGTTCCAGAGGCCAACACCCAGCTCTCACACTGGAACATGAAAATAGAACACAAGTACACTGAAACCACTGAAGAGGTCAAAGACTGTTCCAAAAGAAATAGCAGGTTTAACAGACACGGGGGAACAAAAACTACTGCTGCCAAACGCTGCACTGCTGTAGCAGAGCTTGTTGAACACCTCATGAGGACGATGCTGCTGGGTGGAAACACCAGACAGAGCAACAGCTGCATTTCTCCATCCACAAACAGCTCATTTTAACATTCAGCCTTCTTCCATGCACTAGTTAGTGTCTGGGAATAAGAGGTACTCTTCATTTCACAAAAGCTGCCATGCAACTGGAGAGGGAAAACAAGACTTTATGAATTTCAGCTAATGCTCCTTTCACTCGAACAGCAGCTGCTCAGTGTGAAACTGTGGAGCATCTCTTGACACAAAGCAGATATGCAGTAAGTTACTTTAAGACAGACACCACACTGCTGTCTCTTCTTGCCTACAGCTACCACAAGAATAATTACTCCATGACTGAAGGGGCAACTGACTGTTTCAAGCCATCCAGAACACTCAAGCAGCAAAAAATAGTGTTAAGTCAGGTATCTACACAAAAACCTAGGTGAAGAATAAGTTCAGCCCATGTAATTCAGTATGTTAGTTGCACCTGAAGTCCCAGAACACTCTGTATTTTGACTCTTACCAAGCTTTTCCACTTGAATCACTTTTTTCATTTGTATCAAAGCATGTCACAGTACACCTAAAGGAGAACATGGTGCATTATTACAGTTCCTAGGATGCTACATGAAGATGTCTTGCAGTTTTATCCCACAGAGCTAACAGGTAGTTCAGTGGGTAAAGCGAAACCACAAGTTTATTCTGTGAGGCATTTCCAACGACACGAACCTACAGAGAAGATCCTATCGGGATAGACCTCAGCATTCCTAGTACTATGTATTAACATGACAGGAAAAAAATCAAGCAGACTGGAAACGTACCTGGGATATATCCCGCTTTTAGAAGTTGTTTCAAGGTATTCTGGGGAAGGAGAAGGGTAAATGATTTCAACAGCTGGCATCTGGAGAAGGTGAAGTAACTCCTTCATATTAGCAACAGTTTTAACACTAAAAGTTAGTTACCTGAAAAGCAAACATCAAAGGCAGTTAATTACAAATATGTACAGAATCCTCCCTATAAATGTACTGTAAAGTACAACTCACTTGTCCAAGCAAAACTGTCAGTTTAAGCAGTTAACCTGATCACCTCCTTTTTGAATGAGAAATTTGTATGAATGCTTTTTAGGTAAAGTTACAATAAATTGTTCACCTAACAGAGGGAATGCTACATTAAAATACAGTAATGAAGTGTTGAAACCAGTTACTAAAACCTTCCCAAAACAGTAAACTTGGTTTGATATGACTTCCAGCCACCAGAGTCCTTCAGTCATTAAGGACAGTCACTGCCAAACTTCTTATGTCATACTAACCCTAGACAGAGCTTGAGACTTCTGTGAAATGGCATCCTGCATTTCTTCTTTATTTTTTCTCTAAATACAAGCCACCTGAAAAAGCAAACTAATGTTACAAACCAGCATGTTTGTGCCTACAAATCAGCAGAACCTACATCAGTACTTAGTATGTAAGTGGTTCATTTTAACTACCACAAGCATTACTGAGAGCCTCTATTTGGAATCACATTTCAAGCTACTACAGTGTCTGAATATTATCCTATTTGACAGCTCCTTGTAATTTCCTGTTTATTTTTAAAACAAAGTCACATTCATGATCTTTCCTCACTGAGACAAGACACTTGCATGTAAAAATAAAGTGACATGAAAAGGACACTCCTGTAGTAATTTGTTCAGAAAGGCCATTCTCGCTCACTCTCTTCAGAGCAGTTGAACATTTTGCCAATCATCACAACAATTTTCTCACAGCATTCTCAAGTTTGGGGTTAGATAAACTCGTATTTTCTGAAACAACACTGCATTTTCTCAGTAAGAAAAGAACATCACTACAACCAGCTCACTAAGTAAAAGATGGGCAGCTGACCTGCAACAGGCAAGTGTTAAAAACCAGTCACACACACTTACCAAGATGGTAGTTCAGACTGGACTATCACATGGACTTCCTAAAACAAAGTAAATTGTTGCATCTGATCAATATAGCCAAGATTCTTCAGCATTTCAGTAATTTGTTAGGACCTGGGTACTCTTAAACTCAATATAAAGCAGGCAGACTGTGGTCCAGTTACACTGCCAGAATGCTAATGACAAAACCAAGCATTTCAATTGAAATCGAAGCCATGGCCCAATTTACCACACAACTACCAACAAGGTCTATCTGCAATTTAATTTAAAAACTGGAGCACTACGGCAAGAAGGCACAACTAAGGGAGTTACCTCACAAAGAAAATGTGTGGGGACACCATCTTAAAACAGCTTAAAAATATGCTCTAATAAACCACGTACAAGAATTCATCACTGCAAGTATTTTTTTCCCCTCTACCTGCTGATTCTACTTCCTTTAGTAGGTAGGATGCAGAATTCAAGCACATCAAAACAAACAAATTTTTAGATTTTACAGTAGCTGCATTAAGTATGTTTGCAGAATTGTCCCACTAAGTAAACTGTTACAGGTCTCATTGTCACCACTGCAATTAACTTTACAGTGAGGAAAGCATAACCTGTTACTCTTCTAGCCACGTTTTTCAATTCAGACACATAGCAGGTTGTGCCCATTTGCTGAAGAACGAGGCATAACAACTCCACAAGGTCTGTGGAATAGACTGTTTCTTAAGCCCAGCCAGTTAACTTTGAAAGAAACCTGTTCAGTGGTCACCTGCTACTTAGGTTTGTGTTTCAAAATACTTTTTTTTTTCTCAGAAAAAAGCAGCCAAAAACCTAAGACTTGAGGTTTTATGATCCTCATCCAAATACCTCCACCAAGAAAAAAGTCAGCTATCTCCTTAATACTTACACTTAAGCAGAGGCTTTTCACTGTGTTCCAGACATCACAGGAAGGCCCCTTGAAGAAGAAATATTTTGGAACAAAGTCACTTATTTAACTATAAGCTCATGCTGTAACATTTTAACAGTTTTTTAATGTATTTGACAAGCCTCCCAGTTTGGAAACACTAAACCTACTTGTTTCAACAGAAATACCAAGTTTAACAAGCACATCTGCATGAAAACCAACGATGCCAGCTGTTGAAATACTGTAGCACTGCTTTTTGAACACCCCATCAGGAAGACACTGCTGGGTGCAGATACCATACAGTGCACAAATTAGTCTGATTAACTTGCTGTGGAAACAGCATGTCTAAAAAATCCAAGACTCTAACACTGAAGCTCAAATGAAACTCAAAGCTTACCTCTTTCACTCACTACCACGTTGCACAGAAATACACTGAACTGACAGAGTTGTGAATCAGTGGGCCAGCAAACAGTCCATAATAAATGCTTCCCAAAAAATTAAATCTGCTCACTGCTGCATCATTGGTGTTCTCATCTGCAAAGAAAGAGATACAACTGAGCTACACTTCTACAAATCTGGAACATTAAACTCATACCCAAGATTGATCAGTGGAGTTCACGCAAATATTGTCCCTTCATATACGTAACACAACTAATATGTTCATCAGCTGTGGGTTGCAAAAGAAGGGTTTTTTCTAAGCACTAGGTTCCAGGTTTTTGTCTACAGCAACAGACAAAACCTGATCAAGTGCTAGAACAGACTGAATATTTTTTTTAAAACAGCATTTGAAACTATTTCCCAATTCACTGTATACTTACTGTTAAAAACTGTCACCTTCCACTACTACCGTGTTTTCTCATTCTAAAGACAGGTAGGTTGAACCAAAAAGCAACTGTGGAAGGAGTTCAGTATCAGACATGCCGTCCTAAGAACAATCTGCTGTGTTAAACTGGTATGTTACTCAGCACAGTACTCATAACTACACCACTGGCCAAGTAAGGTGCCCTGTTCCTATCTTTAACTAAAGAATATTCTTGTAAGGTTTCATTACTTGAACACCTTTAGCTCAGGGCTTCCCATGTTACAAGTGTTTTCTTGTGCAGTAACCTTACATGGTGCTTTCTTCCATGCTATTTCCTACACTACCCTGAAGCCACACAAACCTGGGAGCATCCTACAGTAAGAAGCTTTCACAGCTATGTACATGCAAGACTACCAGCTCCTCTCTGCTGTCCCTCCTGTTCTTGCATGGGACATGATTTAAGATGGAATTTTACCACAGGGAAGCCATCAGAAGCAGCAGCTGCATGATTCACCCTGGTACAGAAAGCATGCGTGAGGCACCACGACGGGACTAAGTGTAAAGGAGTTCCTCAACATCTTCAGCAGAGACAATCCCAGGCAGTATTGGTCCAAACCAGATAAAGCTGCCCTGCAGCATTCGACATCAGGTAAAAACAAAGTATTTCTATACATAACTTCTAAAAAAAACTGCACTTAAGAGATATTCAAGAACTCAAGTTTTTGTTTTCATTCCAAGAGACCACAGACTAATTTTGTTCAGACTGGTGAAAGAGATGTTGCATTGAACTCTAGACCTTGGAAGTTTCACACACAAAAGCTGCACAGCTGTGAAGAGCTGTAATGCATTAACTTTAAATATGGAGCACTGTTTTTTCAAAAGCTCTTGTGAAGTAAAGCAAAAAAGCTACCTGAAGTAAACAAAATTGAAACCAACAGCTTACCTTGTGCAGCAAGAAAACTGAGTAGTATTTCATCTTCAAAAATGTCAAATGCGACAAACTAGAAGAAAAAGCAAAGTAATAAGAACTGTCATATATGGTCAAGTAAACTCAAAGCTAGGTTTCAGCAATCAATGTAACAGTCGTAATAAGCTTGATTTGCATGTGTACTTATCCAGTTCTAATCAGAATTGAAATTTAGTTCATTTCTGAGTCACTCAGCAGTTGAACAACAAAATTCATCACATGAACTGCAGAATGAGCAGGACTCTACATACCCCTTCACTATGCCTTAGCAAGCAAGAACCCCACTCCTAGATCCAGGGTGAGTCTTTCAAGCCATTGAGTATTTCTCAAGTAGATGCCTAAAAGAGTTACATTTGGCCATTAATTTTGAACTAATATGAAATGTGATCTTCAAATACTGAAGACTAATTTTGCACTCCTAGACCTACCAAGTTGCAATTGGGAAACCTCCTTTACAAAGGTTTAGGACCTTAGTTCAAGCATGTAAATAAATAATGCAGCTTGACTTGCTCTCAATACTGAGCACCTACTGCCAATCTCCTTAGACTGCCATTAAACCAGCAGATAAAACCTTTCCTGGGCAACATCCTTGTTCAACACAAACTACTTCTACCTGCTGAACAGCTATAGCTTGCTGACAGCAATTTGGTTACGAGCTTCTGAGGCAGGCAGATGACTGTTTGGCCTCTAAATCTTGTTCATTGACAAGGAAACTTTTTAAACTTTTTTTTTTTTTTCATATTTTCAGCTACCACACACAGTAGGACTTGGCTGTATTCAGACCATTCCTAAATGCTTACTGGTCAGGTTTCCTACTGACTAAAACACCTTCAAGAAAGTTATTTTCAGCTGGGGCAATGCCTGTTAAGAACTGTCATTATGAAGAGCTTTTATCTTCTGCTAAGTCATGTTCACATCAGAACCCATTCTGGACAGCAGAGGGCAAGAGGGGAAAAAGAATTTTTAACCCAAGATTCACTATGCTGCTACAGTTATCTTTAAGGTAATTTACAACTTCAGATTATTGTATTAGATTCAGGAGCAGAGAATTAGTTTTCCGAAAAGTTATTCCAACATGGAATAGACAACCTCAATCATACAAAATCAGTATCATCATTTGAATGCATTAACCATATTTTGCAATAGACTTCTGTTGAAGTTGACCAACCACTTCTGCATTTTTGTTGTTGGCACTTGTTTGCATCAAGCTTCAATTCTGTCTTCAACCTCTCAATTCTTTAAGTATTTCAAACCTGCACCTCTAAAACAGACCATTCACAAGGAAGTCAGCTATGAAAACTCAAGAAAGGCATTTAAACTGCCCTTTCAACTTGAGCATATAGGTGTATGCATGCAAATGCATACTATTCTATACAGCTGCTGCTGCTACATTACGATATTTGGAACTTGTTTGCCCGTTTAATTACCGAAGTTCTATGATCCACTAGTTAACAGAGGTCAAGTTGCAGAAGTCAGAACTTCAGCAAGATTATTAGCCACTGAACCAAGGATGTTATAGTCTTGATAGAGAGTAGCACAAAACATACTTAAAAGCTTAAGAAAACAACAGATTATACTTGCTTTGTAACTGTCTCAGACACAAGCCCAATATACTCACAGTACACCAGATGTGACTGGGTAGCTTGGTGGATAGCTCGACATTGACTTCAGACCAATGCTTTAAAGGAAGCAGGCCATGAAAAATGACCACTGACACCTCATTTGTCCATCTGTTGTTCACAGAGGTGAACCTTGCACAGGCACAGAGTTCTCCCCAGCACTGTCTTCATCATCCTCTATTTCAATCACTTCAGTTGATTTTGCACGTTTTGTTTCTGGCTTTGATTTTTTCTTACTGGGAATTGTGCTGCTTATAATGAAAGAGCTGTTCTCCTAAGAAAATGGAAGACAAGTATTCACAAGTCTGGTTTTGAGATACTTAAAAGACAAGGTTTTAGTAATAAATTTGCAAACATCAGTAACTCTTGAGAGAACTGCAGAATTCCTATACATTCCAGCATTTTATTTAAGAGGAGAGTGTGGACTCTCCATTACAGACTGAGACTCACAGGTATCACATAGTTAACTCTGGATCTAAGCTCAAGAGCTAAGTACTGAAAACATTATTATCTACTAATTCCTTAGCTTTAGCAGAGAAAGGTTAGAGAGTTTCTGAAGTTAAGTATTACTTACCACTACTCTGGCATCATATTGCTCTTGATTATGAGAATTCAAGCCGTCCTCATCATCACTGAAATAATAAATGATTCAAATCAAACTGTACTTTTATAGTAGCTTAAAATGTGTAAACTATTTTCGTACTACAAGCCCTGGTGTTTCTCTTAGTGTCTTCTAAAGTACTACAGCTTGTAGGTTTAAGATACTTTTAAATAAGGTCATTCTCAAATGAGTTTTTGACAACAGAATGACATCCTAACTTATAACAGTGGCAGGACAGAAGGAATGCTTAGAACACAGATTTAGCAGCAGATTTTAACAGCAGTATTAAGATAATTTGGATTACACTGCCAAAAAGGCTAGAAAGCCAGCAACTTGGAAAGGAAGCAGAATGTAATCACAAGTAACAACATAAGTGGATAAGCCTCAGCTATTAAGGGTATACAGCTTTCTTCCTGACATTGTAACAAAAGTTTCTCTACAGCGCCATGAAACACCAGTATGAACTTAATTCCACTCTCATCCACAAGTTTTCTCTCAAAATAGAAAGGACTCCCCAAAGAGGTGAAATCATTATAGTACTGTTGTTTCAGTAAGAGGCACAGGGAGGACTGGTTCCAGAACCTAGAAAGTATTCTGGTACTCATTTCATATAAATAATTGAGTGTCTGGATGAGCTGGCTTTTATTCTACAGAGATTTGTTCTTCTGTTCTTTTGTACAAAAGCAAACAAATTATTATTACTCATTCTACAGGCCCACCCTAATACTTTGACTCACACTAATTAGCAGTGTGAAGTGACTGCTAAAATTAACAGTGGCTAAAAGACAGCTTCGTATCTTTACACTGTCTTTTAAACTTTCTAGTTTTAGTGTTGACTATATTTACAACAGTAAGTATTCTTCCTAATTTACTGATTTTTTATTGCACTAAGATAACTGCTTGACCATAAAGATCTAAGATGACACTTCAATATTTTAATAATGTAAAAAGGAAATTAAAAATTATTCTGTAGTCTTTGCTATAGAACACTCCCATTTATTTGAGGTAGCTATTGAGGAATTAATTTTAGAAAGCACTTTTTTTAAATTTATACCATATCATTTTAATCAGACATTACAAGTCACCAGAACAATCATCAGTCTCCAGATCAGATGAGAAGTATTTCCTCCTATGAGAACTTCCAAGTCACATTTACAAACACAAAACCCCAAGTGGCAGTGTTTTGTTCCCAAAATAAACAATGCTTTCACAGGTTAAAAGGACAGGAAAAGAACTGAATGTGATACACCTACAACTCTTGTCACAGAATCACACGCTACTACAAGCAACTGTACTACCTCCCAAATTCCTGAACTATGTAGAGTGGCAGACTGTACTGGTCTGGAGTTAAGTCAGCTCTCCTCACAGCACCCTGTGCCATGCTTTTTTTGGATTTGTGACTAAGTGTTGAAGCCCTAACCATGTCAGCAAACAGACTGGGGGCAGTGCAGGCTGTCATGCACCTACCTGTACACACACATTTATATTTTGGTCAAGAACAGAAGTTTTACATCATCTACAAACATAAAGACAAACTTACTTTGTTTCCTGAATAGGGGAAATGGGGCCTTCGTCATCTAGGTATTTGTGTTTCCGTACCACCACACATTCTTTTTCTAAGTCTTCACTAGCCTGAAGGGCTTTTAAAGCTTTTTTAAGATGTTCTTCATATTTAAGCACTTCAATGTACTTGAAATATCCCTTTGCAGCTGCTTGCTGAAAACAGAAATTTACCAGGTAAGACCTTACAAACACCACTAAAAGCATTTATATTATGAACTGAACTTGTAATACTACATTGACACCCATAAATATTCTTTCTGTTTGCCTTAAAAGGTATTAGACAACATTACATACACGAAATAAAACCTGTTTGTTATATTCAAGCACACCAGACAGAAGCACAAAACGGAAGACTTACCTCATAGCCAAGAACCATCTTTAAGGGAATATGTTTCTCCCCATAATGTTTTTCGATAAAAGGGAACTGAAAACCTCTGTCCAGCAGCCTCCTCTTTTGCTCCTGAGGTGAGGCTGTCAGTGGTGGCCTCCCTGTGGGCATCCTTGTGCCCTCATACTTTTTCTTCTTCCTTTTTTTGCCTGAGCCAGCTTTGAATTTTCGGTGCGCAGCTGCTTTAAACTTCTTTCCCCTGAAGTGATAGGCAAAAATGGCTTTCAAATTGAGTTTTGATTTCTGCTGCTTGGGAACTTCGGATGATTTCACTGGACTTTGGGGAGACAGTGAAGAATCTGACGAGCTTTCATTGTCGGTCACTTCTGCAACAGATTCAGCTTGTTGCCTTGATGACTGACACCTCCTTTTTGGCTCTGAAGGTGCAATGGAGCACCCAGGACGGCACTCGTTGCCATGAGCAACAGGGACATCACTGAAGAAAAAGAAAATATTTACTTTCAAAAGAATGATTACTTTTACGATATATGACACAGGTTCTTCACAGGAAAAATTCTCAACTAGAAGGTAAAAACTCACATTTCGGAATCGCTGCTGATAAGTAAAACCTCAGTTGAAGCAGCTGGCGATTCACAGATACTATTAAGTCGATCTGAAGATTCCCCAGGAGCAGCATTCTTTTGCCTTGACTGTGAACACTCCTTTCTTGTATCTGTCTGCCATGCATACTCCTTAGACGGGTCCTCATGACAGTGTATCAGCTCTTGGGCACCATGGTAATCAGAGCCAGAAGCCTGGGGCTCATCTAGATCAGTCATGTTTCAGTTTGCCCTAAGAATCAATGAGAGTTAAAGAAATTAGAGAAAAATATATGTTAAGAGGTAACAAGCTTCCCACTGCTCCACTCTTACTCACAGGGTAAATTTAAAAGAACAATGTCAAGCAAACTTCAGTATATATTTTCCTATGAACCAGGAGCATATAAATTAAGCTAGAAAAAATTTTTACAGCTCTTTTGGACACCAGTGGAGTTCCCCAGGGCTCAAGATTGGGGATCAAGTGCACCCTCAGTCACTTTGCAGACCACCAAGTTGGGCAGGAAGGATCTCCAGAAGGATCTGGACAGGCTGCCATCTCTGGGCTGAGGCCAACCGATATGAGGTTCAACAAGGCCAAGTGCTGGGTCCTTAATTTGGGTCACAACAACCCCAGACAGTGTTGGAAAACTGCCCCACAGAAAAGGACCTGGGGGTGCTGGTCAACAGCAGCTGAACATGAGCAAGCAGCGTGCCCAGGTGGCCAAGGACATCCTGGCCTGTATGAGCAACAGCGTGTCCAGCAGCACCAGGGCAGTCATCATCCGCCTGTACTTGGTCCTGGTGATTCCAGCACCTCCGAATCCTGTGCCTGGGTCTGTGCCCCTCACCACAAAACACACCGAGGTGCTGGAGTGTCCAGAGAAGGGCAACAAAGCTAGTGAAGGATCTGAAACATAAGCCTTATGAGGAGCAGCTGATGGAGCTGGGGATGCTAGCCTGGAGAAAAGGAGGCTCAGGTGGATCTTCTCACTCTCTACAACTACCTGAAAGGAGGTTGTAGCCAGGTGAGGGGCAGTCTCTTCTTGTAAGTAGTAACAAATGACAGGACAAGAGAAAATGGCATCAGGTTGCACTGGGGAAGTTTATATCATGGGAACACGCTGGCCAGGAAAGTGGCTAAGTCGCCATCCCCAGAGATGTTCAAATGTATAAATGCAGTGCTTTGAGACTAATGGATTCATGTTGGACTCGTCAATACTAGGTTAATGCCTAGATGACTTTAAACACCTTTTCAAACCTAAAAGACTCTTTGATGTTATGGAAGGTAATTCTGGATAGCAATCTGCACCTATGCCCCAGCCACACTATGCCTTATGTGAGCATACTGATAACAGGGGTTCACCCACGGCCTGACAAACACAATACAGAGACAGAACGGCCCAACATCAGAGCCAGGACACAGGCAGCAGTGTCACTCTGACCACACCGGCTGTGGCTCGTACTCACAGATCGCAGTTCAGCATCCTTTGAGGCCTCTCCTGCAGCTCCGTCCTGGACAGCTGGCACAGCGTGCAGAGCCCTTAGGGAGAAAAACCACCAACATCTAAATTTGCTGACTATTATACGGAGCCGCAGTATCTCCTCCCAGAATAACCTCAGGCTGAACGGCGCCGGGCACACCGCTCGGCCCCCCGCCAGGCTCCACTGCCGGGGCAGGCATTTGGAACGCGGGCCCCCACCGGGACACCATGGCCGAGGACACACCGCGGCACCGAGGCCCCTCGTAGGCGCCCCAGCCCTCGGGGGACAACTCAACACCGCCGGGACTGGCCCCCACCCCCCGGTCCCTATGCCCCCCGGGTCCCCGCACGACGGATGGTGGCGGATGGCGGTGGATGCGCCGCGTCCCGACCCACCTCCCGCTCCGCCGCCGCTCCGCCGCAAAGGGCGCGAAATGGCCGCCCCGCGGCTTAAATAGCGCCGGGGGCTCGCGAGAGGCGCGCGGGCCGACGGGAGGGAGGAGGGAAGGGGAGGGAGGGGAAGGGAAGGAGGGGCGGAGGGAGGGAGGGAGGGATGGATGGAGGGACGCTAGCTAGGCGTGGCAGCAGGGTGGGCGGTCCCGGGACTGAGGCGGGGCGGGGCGGGGCGGGCCGAGCCGAGCCGAGCCGAGCCGAGCCGAGCCGAGCCGAGCCGAGCCCGGACAGCAGGGCAGGTAGGTGCGGTCTGCGCGGAGCAGGGATCGGGCAGTTCCCGGCTGCCTTCTCCCGCCTCGCCCGGGACGTCCCGGCTTCCCGCTCGGTGAGAGGCTCTCGTTACTGCTGTCCGGTTTCTCTCCAGCTTCCTCCGAGCTGGCGGCTCCAGCCGAAGCAACACCTTACTGCCTCTCGCAAGCGAGCCAAGCGTGCTGCCAGCTTTAGTGCTTCCTCGCTCAAGCGCTCCTCTCTGCCTTTGCCTGCCGGGGATGCTCTCTCTCCCTAAGGACTCGAGCCTCGGCTGGCACGCCTGTTCCTGTCCCGCAGTGTCCTGTTCTTCCCCAAATCCCAGCCGCACAAGAAGCCGCTCTGCTGTCCCGCAGCCTTCCTCTGCCCCGTACGGGATCTCCTCGCATCGCTCCAGCCGAGGAATACGGCCTCTGCCTCTATACATGCTTTGCTCCTCTTGATGTCTTTGCTAAGTTTCTCCTCTCTCACTGACTTCCATCTTCAATTTTTTTTTCTTCCTTCCCCAGTCCCCCTCCTCGACTCATCTCTACCTGCCTATAACCTCTTCCTTTTGGCTTCAACCCTCCAAACTAGTTTTAATTCAGGTTTTGAGAATAGACCCACACACACACATCATTAATATAACGGTTCACATTCCATCTGCATTCTCCTGGCACTTAGCTACTCTCTCCGATGTTTTCTTCCTGCTTCAAAGGTAGGCTTTCAGTCTTTACATGCTTGTTCTCTCCATTCTTGTTGCACTTTCTTTGAAAGTCTTCTGTAGTAATTCAGTGACTGTGCACCCCTCTGTGATGGATCTTAATTATCTGCTGTTGTCTCCTTTCAGGTTCACCCTGTCGCACACCACACAATTCACTCCCCTGTTAGTGCTTGCAGTGGTGGCTCACGGATCTACTCTTTTGTGTGTTTCCTGCTAAGGACTACTGTCTAGCAATCAGATCTGGTTTTACTATGGTACAACAAGTTTTTCCACAGCCTTTCTGTCCTTTCTTGATTGCAGGGAGCTAACTACTGTCCGTACAGTAGATGATGGTCTAAGTGTTATATCCAAGCCTATTTATTTGAATTGTGTCCAAGTCTTGCCTCTGCCTTTTGCACAACAACAGTTCTAGGTTGTCTGCTCAGTCTTAGGTCAACCAGTGTGTTGAGTGATGGCACAGCCTCCTTCTGGATGTGGCAAAAGGTTCCTGAGGGGATGAGGATCATCTAAAACAATGCTGCCAAAGCCATCTTGTCACTTTGTTTCTCTAGCTAATAACTCCCTTTCTTGGTGCACACTGAAAGCCTTGGGGTGTGATTTATTCCATCTGACAGTAGGCTTTTACCAGAGGCACCAAATCCAACCTGTTACTTTCTCCTCTGCAGCCTGAGAAGGGAAGGAGTCACCTGTGGAGATGGATAAGACCAACTGCAGGTTGCAGTGTTTCTTCTTTTCTCTGCTGCTTGCTACAGCAGTAATTTGGGTGGCTGAACATTTTGCTCAAACACTTCAGTTAGGTGACTCCTATAATATCCCCACTCTTCTTATTTCTTTTTTTTTTTTTTTCCTTTATACAGGCTTGAGAGGCTGGTGGTATAAGGACAGTTACAATTTTTGACAATCATAAAAGGTGGGACTTTTTTAAAAATAGAAGCTAGAACTAGCTAGCTCATACCATAGTCCTTCCTAACAAAGGCTCTGTCATGTCTGGGAATGTAGTTACGGTTTTGGCATTTTCCTCCAACACCTGAGACCTAGTGTTTCCTCCAACACCATAAGTGGGACCCATTTTGTTGGGTGGTTGTGTTTTTTTTTGCTGTGCACAACAAGCATGTGCCTAAGGAATTAATAATTGCAATAGCTTATTTTTAGGTAGTGTACAATCAGCTGTTTCTGCCCTGAGCTAGTGGTTTGCCCTAATTACTCACTTTGCTGTTGCAAGGCTGACTGAAGTACAGTTCATTTGTGAAGGCATTCTTAAACTTATATTCAAACAAAACTTTTTGTTCCAAGCTCAGTACCCATACAGAGGCAGATAGCGCAGAACTTGCTGCTGTTGTTTTCTATTTTACTTCTTGTCTTTTCTCCCTGGAAGGGGAAACGCATGCCCAGAGTAAATTGGAGACCATATCACAGCTAGGGTTGAAAGTCCACTGTAGCCAATGCTGGAAAAGTAAACATTAAGGTTGGGAAAGCCTGAGGAGGCAGCTAATGTGTCAGAAAAGCCCAGTTTTCTATCAAAACCAAATTGTGATTCCAGGCTTACAAAGGACACACAAATCTCCTGACCTGTCCCTTGAACTGAATTCAGCATTGGATGTGTTGCCTACACCAGCTGCAAGCTTGAAGACTAGCATATGTAATGTTCTGAGCCAGCTATAGGTCTGACAGACATGCCTTTCAAAATCTATAAAAACTTTAATGTTACTATTGAAGCCATTAGTCTTTCCTGATGGCAGAACTACAATTCTACTGTTGTCTGTGCATTCTTGAGTGAAATTGAAAAATAATTCCCATATTGAAAGGAGACTGTTTTAATTGTTAAACTATTATCCTTGTTGGCAGATCAGTTGCTCCTACAGTGTGCTGTACTGTAATTTCTTACCTCAAGAAATCAGCACAAGTTAAGAAATGGCCAAAGTCGAAAGGTTTGCTTTTCACGTTCCAAGTCTGGAGGAGCTTGCTGGGGGTAAGTTATACAGCTTGTAACTTTTTACGAACTTATAATGTACTCTTCGAACTTACATTAAAGCTCATACCAAAACCTTTCTACAGACAGTACATGGAGAATTCCTGCTCTTAACACACTGAGATGTAAAGAACAGCACTATTTCTCTATATGCTGCGATTTTTGTAGCACAAACAATGACTCCTCCCCCAAGCCCCCTTGATATTTAAGCACACAGGCAGGCTCTCAAATCCTTTAAAACTGTCTGCTGTATTTGCAAATTTGTGCATGAGCTGTGAAAGTTTGACAACTAAAGAGCAAACCTCTCTATGGATACAGGATCATCCACCCTCCTCTACCCTCCAGTATTTCTTTCTTTTTCAGGACTACTCAAAACACAGCTGGCAAGATGCAGTGTAGCATGGCAGATCCTCTTGCTTGAACCTAGCTGGCTCCTCTTTCAGTGATTACCTTAGAACAGGGCTGCAGGAAGCATCTTTTTTAGTTTGTTTCTTTCCAAAGCCTTCCCAAAAAGTGCTCAGAATAACAGAATGGTTGAAGTTGGAAGGGTCCAACGCACTTGCTCATGAGCTTCTTTCCTTGCACTAGCAGAAAGGTAGTCTCTCCCCTGCAGCAGATCTACTAAAGGTTGTTGTCTTTCACATTGATCCTCAAGTTCAGTTTGCTGCTTTCCCAAATCTGTGTCAGTTTTGTGTTTCCATGCGTTAAGAAAGTGTGGTCCCAAGATTACCCTGGGTGGTTCTCAGTGCTCTTCTCACTCAGTCAGACTAGGGCAGTAGGACACAGCTGCTGTAGACTCTGTGCAGAGAACACCATGTACTCGCAGTATAACAGCTTGAAAGAGTAGAAGAAAAATTTCATCAGAAAGCAGAATTTTCCATTTTTCCCCCCTGAGGACCTCCTGTAAGCTGTGAATTTTGTTGCTGTTCAGCTTTTGGGTATAACTGAGGAGTGCCTTTTTATTGTCCTTGTCCGCTTACCAGAAGGTACTGAGATATATTTAGAAATGTGCCAAGTACCTTCTACTGACCCTTGTGGTCAATACCTTTGTAAATCTGCTCTTGAGAAGTAAGGTATGGCTGAAATCCTAATTGGAGGAAATAAAAACTCAGGGAAGTCTTCTGAGCAAATAAGAAACTGCCTGATTTGAGAACAGACTTGATCTTCTGTTCTTTAGTTTGAGAAATCTGTCAAAGCAGACCCCCAGGTGTGAAAGAACCTGGACCTTTTAACATGGTATTTGAAGCAGTGTATGTGAAGACAATCCCTCACTCAATTTAGGCTTGGAAGTTGTTTCCCAACAGTGCACTCATCTAATCATCCCTGTTGTTTGAGTGACTTTGCAGGTTCTGAGCCTAAAAACCACTGATGTGAAGCAAAACCAAAATTTTAGATTTGGTTCATTATCATGAGCACCATTTATTAGCTGTCTTGTACTGACAGTGGCAGTTGCCAGAAAATCTCCACAAGAGCATAAACATGATAGGCAATATCCTGTGGCAGAAGAAATTTTCAGACAGCAGAGACAGTTTGAGATTATAATCAAGCTATTTCAAACAGTCTGGTTAATGTATTTAAAGAACCGATTGTCCCTTCAGCTAAAACTTGCTTCCTCCTTTGCTCTTGCATCATATTTGACTTGTGATCATAATTGTCTGCTCTTTGAAACAAACCCACTGCTGAATGTGATTTAAGTTTACCCATGTTACTTCACATTGTGTTGCTCCTAGTGCTAGTAGGAGCAGTCAGTTATTATATTTCAATGAAAATGTTTTTAAAATACTCCAAATGAATTGATGTGGCAGACAGCAATTACCTGAACAAACTTTTGCTCTTCTCTGAAGCTTTGATGCATGAAACAAGTGCCTACAGACAATTAAATCAATGGAGTTACTTAGGGTAAGCATAAGTAATGTATCTTGCTGAAATAAATCTAAACAGATATTTATAGTTGTTAGTAACTTGTCAAACAAACTCTTGGTAATTTTTCATTGTCAATAACTTTGCCATTATTCTTTATAACAGTTTTGCAGAAAGGGCTTAAAGAGAACTTTGCTGATGCTCAAGTCTCTGTTGTAGACTGTCCTGATCTGACTCAGGAGC